ACGCTGGCCCCTCAGCACTGGGGCTAGTCCTACACAGGCACCTGCCCAGCACAGCCTGGGCACCGCGGGGCTGCCGTGACTCAGGGACTTCCTCAAGCCGAGGAGGTGCTGCCGTGTTTATCCAACCGTCCTCCGCGAATTTTTTACCCATGAATCCACCCCATTAGGCTTTCAGCCACCTGAATTATCGGCGCCCACATCCTGTGGCCAGCAGTGCCAGGTCTGGAGCAGACACCTCCTCTGGCACAGCTGGGGTGGGATTGCTGTTCCCAGCACCCCGAGCACCCCCTGGAACCCTTCCTTGGCCACTCGGCACCTTCTTCTCCCGCCGAGGGGCTGCTTTATTCACTTCCCACTGCATCCCCCTGCTCCACACTCCATGTCCTGCACAGTAAAGGTGGCTGCGGGTGCCTCCCCTGGTGCCCCCCATCATTCAGGGGATATCTGGGGTATCTGTCTCCTGAAGGTTGGGCTGCGGGAAAAGGGGAACCGGGACGGGATAACCGAGGATGCAGCCGGGGACTGGAGCCAGGAACCGTGACCAGGAAGTGGAGCCGGCGGTGAAACCCATCCCGCCCCACGGGAGACGCACCCTCACCCTTCCCATCACAGAGAACCGGTCCGTCGAGGCGCGGACGGGCTCGTCCCGGTGCCGGCACTGGGCGGACACCGCTCCGATCCGCCCCCACGGGCGGTGCCCGGTACCGACCCGCCCCGTCGGCGAGCGGCGGGCGCGGGGAGCCGGGCGGCGGCAGAGCCACGGGACGCGCCATGCTGCCCGCTGCCTTCCGCCGGTGGCTCCGCCGACCCAAGGTGAGACCGGGGAGGGTGGCACCGGGACCGACCACCCTCCCCTGCGCCCGGGACCGGCGGAGCCCCCGTCCGGGGGCTCCGCCGGTCCCGGGCGCAGGGGAGGGCGGCGAGGGTCCCCCGGGGTGGAGCGGGAGGAGGAAGCTGGGGGACTCCCGCGGACCTTTCCCGGTGTTTACAGCCATGCACGGATCCGTGCCCGCGCTGCTAGGATGCGGCTGAACTTGTTCGTCCTGCTCTGCCCCCCGGGGAAACTGAGGCACGGGTGGGTGGGGAGGGCGGCTCTCCCCGGGAGGAGTCAGAGCTGCTGTGGGAGGGTCCCACGTACCTGCCCTAGTGGGTGTTTGTGGATCCATGGGCCCCAAACATCCCTGCTTCGCTTGTGGGATTTGGGATCCTTCTGGCCCAGCACATGGGGTGCTCCTGCCATCTGCCATCACCCCTCTGTGCTCTTCTTGCAGCGCTCCGACCCTCGCCTGCTCTCCCAGTTCTTCTTTGCCGACGAGAGGGTGACAGGGGTGGTGGCCGAGATCAACGGGCTGGATGCCGAACTGGACCCGCAGCAGTACCTGGTGCTCCTCAACCAGCTCCACCTCAGTCAGGTACAGGGACAGCCAGGACCCTGGTGTGACTTGGTCCCCTGGGACACCATGGGTGACATCCGTGCCCTCCCCAGGCTCACCTGCTGGCCATCCTGGAGCGGATCATGGAGGAGTGCATCCCCACGCAGCGGCACAGCCGGGACTACCTGGTCAAGTTCCCCGAGGAGCTCTTGGTGGACAACTTGGGGAACCACATGCTGTTTGCTGCTGAGGTGAGCCCAGGGATGCTATCTGGGAGGTCTGGTTCTCCGAGGCTGGGGGGCAATAGGCCCCCCACTACCAGCTGACCCTGGGGTTAGGGGCTGCACTGCCCCAGGTGCTGGCTCCTGATGGTCCCTGTCCTAGCAGTGTCTACTGGCTGGGACCTTCCCGGAGGTGGAGGAGGCGGACAGGGCACAGCTTCGGCCCCAGGCCAGGAACCTGCTGTGCAGCCTGGAGCTGGTGCGGACAGTGCTGCGGGAGCAGAGCCTGAGCCAGCCCAATTCCTACCCGGAGCCCGTCCGGGCTGTGCTTATCCAGTTCGACCGGCTCTTTGCAGAGTTCGAGCTGAGGTGGGGGCCAGGGCTAGGGTGCTGGGGGCCTGTGCCAGGACTGGAGGGGCCTCACACTCCCTGCATCTCTCCAGCTATGTGTCCTCGCTGGTGGCAGTGAAGTCTCCCGAGGAGATCTACAGGCAGCAGGAGATCATTGTGCTGTTCTGTGAGACGGTGGAGAGGTGAGTGAAGGGCACTGCACATCAGGTCAGGGTAGCAGGGACCCCAGCCCCAAGGATGGGCAGTGTCCTGAGGCTCACCCCACTGTAAGGGGGTGTGTGTGTCCCCAGAGCCCTGCGCCTGGGCTACCTGACCCAGGAGATGATCGATGGCTACGAACCGCTGCTGATGTTCACCATCCCTCGCTTGGCCATTATCAGGTGGGTGCAGCCCCTGGAGAAGGGGGGATGTTCCCTGCCCTGTACCAGCCCCTTCTCCCCATGGGGAACTGGGGTCCTGGGCAATCCCTCATGTAAGTTGAGCTCTGTCCCCTCACAGCGGCCTCCTCATCTACCCCGAGGGTCCCCTCAGCCTGGAGCGGAGCCCGGAGGAGATGTCCCGGGTCTTCAGCCCCTTCTACAACCTCCTGAAGAAGATTAGGTATGCAGTGGGGGGCAATGGGTGGGGCCATGGGGCAGCAGGGGGGCCGTGACATGGGGTTGATGCCATTCCCTTGCCTCAGGGAGCTGCTGCGGGTGCTGTCAGTGGAGGAGCTCTTCCTGCTGGAGAGGAGCCTGTGCACAGCTGAACCAGAGGATCCCTGTGGTCCGGATATCACCCCAGTGTGGGGAGCAGCTGTGCCCAGAGAGGACCCCCCTGCTCCCTTTGGTCTCCTGGAGATCCCTTGTGCCACACCACCAGCCCTCACCTGCATGACGCTACTGGGACCCTCTGGTGCTGCTGACAACCCAGGCACCGACTGGCAGTGGGGGTGTGTGGTGGGCAGGAAGCGGGGCCGAGATGGCAGATCCCTGTCCACTGGGACAGGACATCTCACACCACCCCTAGGGTAACTGTCACCTCCCCTCCGTGCAGCCCCCAGATCCCCGGGAGCAGCCCAGGGATAGGTGCCACCCCGGGTGCCCGCTGCTCAGAGCTGCGCTGCCGGTACAGCAGCACCAAGGACATGCTGCACACCCTCTTTGTCTGCATCTCTGGTGAGTGACCCCCGAGACCCCCCAGCACCCTGAGCTCCCCAGCACCCTGACCCCCCACCTTTCTGGTGCAGGGGTTGCCGATCAGCTCCAGACCAACTTCGCCAGTGACATGCGCAGCATCTTGAAAACGGTCTTCAAGATTGTGGCCTCGCAGGCGGAGCCCTTGGAGGAGCCCAGTGCCAGCCGTGAGTAATCCCCAGAGAGTGAGAGATTGCTCCTCTGCCCCGCCCAGTGCCCATCCCTGGTGAGACAAGGCCACAGCCCCAGGCATGGGGAGGACGTGGCCATACTGCCTGTCCCTGGTTTGGCTGTTCCACCATAGCGCTTGTCCCTGCAGGAAAGAAGGATGATGACTCCTGTGTGGCAGATGCTCCTCGTGTGGCTGACTGCCCACTGTGCTCCAGCCCCACGGAGGCTGCCGGGCTCTGGAGGGCAGGTAAGGGGCTGCCCAGGTGCCATGGCTCTGGGGCAGGTGTGAGGCTGGGACTGATCCTGCCCCCATTCTGCCGGAGGGGGGCTGGCTTTGAGGGGGGCTGGCACAGGCGGGTTTTACTAATATGTTTTGCCCAGCAGGCACTCACCGCCTGCCCGAGTGGGTGCCCGACAGCACATGCAGCCAGTGCTCTGCCTGCCGCTCGTCCTTCACCCTGCTGCGCCGCAGGCACCACTGCCGCAGCTGTGGGAAGGTAGGATGGGGCTGAGCTGGGGTGTGTGGGGCCCCTGAGGGACCTGGCTCTGCTCAGCCCCCCTCTGGCCCTCTCCTGCAGATCTTCTGTGCCCGCTGCTCACCGCACGCCGCAGCACTGCCACACTACAGCCACACCAAACCCGTGCGTGTCTGCACCCACTGCTACACCACACACCTCTCACCCGCATCCCAGTGTGCCCGGAGCCAATGAGAGCCCCTCTGCCAGAGCTGCATCTGCAGGAGGCCATGCACCGGGGGCAAAGGGCTGTTCCGAGGCTGCTGGGCAGCTCTTCAGCCCTATGACTGCTGTCAGAGCTGGGTGGGCATGATGGCAGGACCCCCCTACATGGCAGTAGGACTCCCCCTCACACAGGGGCAGGACCCCACAGACGGCAGCAGCCCACACCTGGTGCTGGCAGGCCAGGATCACAGTGGGCGCAGGACCGCCCCTCCCGATGCACCGTGGCCGTGCCCTGCTTTCAGTGAACCGCGTGCACCTGCCCCCCGGCTGGAAATGTGCTTCGTGGTGGTTTTTTTTCAGGTGAACTTTGACTGTTGTTGGGCCCGGGGCAGAGTCTCCCCCCCAACCCCACGGCCTGGCCTGAGAAGGTGCAAACAGCCCTCACATGACGGCGGGTGCCCCAGGGCCGCCCGTGCCACACCCGCCCGTGCAGTGCCGTGCTCGGAGGCCCGGTGCTCCCCTGCCCTCCCTTCCCCACCGCCTGCACCCGACGGATTTTAATAAAGAGATAAGCCCGCCTGGCTGGGCCGCGTTGCACTGGGTTCCCGGGGCGAAGGGGGGAGCGGGGCGGGCTAGTGGTCACAGCCGGTGTGGGAACACCTGTGGGCGCGGTGGGGCGATGAGGCGCTGGGGGTGTCCCGAGCGGTCTGGGGATGGCAGGGGTGTGAGCGCTCCCCACCCAGCTCCCACGGGCGGGCAGGGGTGACCCGCGCCCCGGGCGTCTCCGGACGCGCATGGGGGCAGACACGGGAACACTTCCCGGGGGGTGCACGGCCACGGCGTGGTAATTAATTAACCACCGGGGGGCGTGGCTTTTCCAAGAGAGGCGTGTCCCGCCCCGGCCCCGCCCCCCGATTCAAATTTGAAGCACGCGCTTTCCCGCCCAAAGTTGTTTGCCCGCCGTGGTGACGTCAGCGGCGCGCGGTGTCCCGCAGCCAATCAGCGCGGGGCTTTCGCCCCCCTCCCGCCATGGAGCCCGCGGCCACCACCAGCATCCAGGTGCTGCTCCAGGCGGCCGAGTTCCTGGAGCACCGGGACCACCGCGACCCGCCCGGCCTGGCCGAGGCCGAGCACGGCTACGCCTCACTTTGCCCTGCCCGGTCGCGCCGGGCCGTGAGCAGCGTCAGGTGAGCAGCGGGAGAGTGGGTGGGTGGCGGAGGCCGGCGGCGCCGGTGCTGATCGCCGGCGGCTCTTCCTCCCGCAGGTCGGTGCACAACGCGCTGGAGAAGCACAGGTACCGGGGCGTGTGGGGGGAGCGGCGGGGCAGGGGGTGGCTCTGCCCGTGCGCCCACCCTCGGGCTGACCGCCGTGTCGTCCCCCTCCCGCCCGGCCGCAGGAGAGCCCAGCTCCGGTGCTGCTTGGAGCGGCTGAAGCAGCAGGTGCCGGTGGCCGCGGGGCCGGCCCGTCCCACCACGCTGAGCCTCCTACACCGTGCCCGGCTTCACATCCAGGTGAGGGGGGATGACCCCGGTACCACTCGGGGGACCCCGTGTGGCAACAGGCCCGCTCAGCTCTGCCCCGCTCATGGCTCGCTGGGTCCCCGCAGAGGCTGGAGGAGCAGGAGCTGAGGGCACGGAGGGCTAAGGACCGGCTGCGAGACCGGCAGCGGAGCCTGCGGCGGCGGCTGGAATGGCTGCTCCTACCCACCGACGGGGAACGGGCACGGGCTGACAGCCTAGACTCATCCCAGCTCTCAGAGCCCTCCGAGGGAGGTAAGGGAGGGGAAGGATGGAGGGTGGGTAGGAAAGGAAAAGCAGCCGGGGTCCTGACTTGGGCTCCCCACCCCGGTGCCCAGAGGATGCCGAGGTGGAGGTGGATGGTGTGGTGTTCGGTGGGGACCTGCTGCACGCCTTCGGCACCGGGAGGGACCACAGCTACTCCAGCCTCCACAGCCCGGAATCCTGACAGTGCCCACTGCCTTCCCTGCACTGCCTGCCTGCCTCCTTCCTGCTGGAAATGCAGCCTCCCTGGCTTCATCACAGCCAGGATAAGGGGCCACAGGTGGGGGTGAGCACCCAGCTTGGCCCCCAGCAGCTGGGCTGCTGGGCAGCACTGGCTGTGGCACTGGGTGCACGGGGCTGGCACCGCACTGTGGCACCCACTGTGAGTGCACTGCAAAGCACTGGGAGAGGCACTGGAAGAGGGCCCAGCTGTCATGGGGAAACCCTCACGCCTCCCCCTGTGCACCGCCAGGCACGTGGCAGTGCTGCTCACTGCAGACATAGCTACAGGAGGGCTGTCCCGCCCCTGGACAGACAGAAAGGGGAAACAAGTGCATTAAGCAATGTCTTCATGCTCCCACAGGCACCCCGCTCTTTTGTACAGACCCCACACTTTTATAGTAAAGGCACTTGGTAAAAACCTGGCCTGTGTCTTCCCTGTGATCCCGGCAGCAGGCTGGACCCCCAGAGTGGAGGGCAGCACTGGGCTCTGCTCTAGCCAGGCCAGTCCCAGTCAAATCAGAGGTGGGAGTAGATTCTTTAATGATAATTACATCTCAGAAAGGGTCTAACAGCAGCTGATTGTCAGACTTGTACAGTTTCTTTAAAAATATAAAATCTAAGGAGATTTCTATCTGTCCTGGTGCAGCTGGCCCCTCACACGTACTGCTTCTTCTTGGTGGCTGCCTTGCTTGCCAGGTCCTTGGCTTTCTCTGTAGCAGCCAGAGCTGTCTCCTTGGCTTTCTCGGTTGCTTCCTTGGCAGTCTCCACCAGTGTTTTGGATGGAGCTTCTCCTATAACACGGAAGCTGTTAACCCAGCCCTGTCCCGGCACTGGAGTGCCAGCCAGACCTGCCCAGCCGCCTCGGCACCAAGGCACTTCCCCACGCAGATGAGCCTGGTGCTCCTGACCTCGGCACGTCAGGGCACGTTGCAAAGGGGAACCGCAGGCACGTCACTGCTGCCCTGTCACATCCCGTCCTGCCTGCACTGCACTCCACCCCTGCCTGGCCTTGCAATCACTGGCCGGCTGCTCCGCTCAGGAAGGGCAGGCTGTGCCAAGGCATGGGGCAAAGGTAAGGGAGGAGGATTTCACAGTCAGATCAGTTCAAGCTGCGACCTGCCCATGGACTGGAGTGTTCCCAGTGTGACCTCTAACTCCAAGAGACCCGTCCCGGTCAGCCCCATCCTGCCCCTGGTGCCCACCTTGCATTCTTGCTAGCACGTATTCAAATCCCTTAGTGCTCTTGGTCACGTTGCTTTTGAACCTGGCCAGACCAAACTCCTGCAAGGGAAAAGTCAGTGAAGGTGCAAGCCCAGCTCCCTGTCACACACAGCCCCTGGGGCTTTTGTCCCAGCTTGAGAAGTCACAAACAGTGACTTTGATAGTGATGGTTCTGGGTGCCCAAAGAGCTCATGAGTGCTGGGGGAACAAGGGGAAAGGGTGTAAAAACCATCACAAGGAATGGGTAGAGAAAGGGGGGGAGCAGGAGCTTTAGGGGGGCACACAGTGCTGCTCGAGCAGTGCTCACCTGGATGGCCCGCGAGACACCAAACAGGCTGGAGGACACCCAGGCCTCTCGCTTGACCTCGGTCCAGTTGCTGTTCTCCGGGTTCACCCGGTAAACGCACCGCTCCTCCACCACCTGCAGGAGGCACAGCCCGGCTGTAGGCACTGCTGGACCCCCTCCACCCCCCTGTGCCCTCCCGCCCGCGGCACTTACCATGAGACGGGCGTGGTTGATGTTCCAGGTGAACGTGGTCATGGTCCGGTTCTTGGGGTCCACGATAGAGTCCTCCAGGATGTAGACAGAGTGGGCGACGTTAGCTGGGAAGAAGCGCTCTGCCCAGCGCGGCATCCGGTTGGTCTTGGTCAGGAGCCGCCGCGACAGCAGCTTGTGGTCCGGTGTCACCTCCCGGTGCACGATGTCTTCGGTCAGGACATGTTTGCTAAAACGGCGGAAGAAAACATCAAGCCCTGCTCCTTCCCGGCCAGCCCCACCAGGGGCTGGGAACCATCAGGCACCGTGGGATTAAGGGAGGGAGAAACCAGCTCGCCGCTGTGTGCACCCATCCCAGAAGGCTGGAGGGGGACGAGCAGAGCCCCCGCGGGACCCCCGGGAAAGGGCTGGGCCGAGGAGGAGGGGCAGCATTCCCAGATGGCATCGGGATGGGGGGGTGGCCAGCGGGAGCATGGGGGGTCGGGGAGGGCCCCGGGCGCACCTGTAGGGGTTGGGGTAGCGCTGCCAGAAGGCGGCGAACACCTGGTCCCAGGGCCCCTTGAGGACGCTCAGGCTGGCGCAGTACTTCCCCATGGGCCCGGCGCTCAGGCCCGCGCCTGCTGGGCGGCCGCCATGCGGCCCGCGCGCCCCGCCCGGCCCTGCGCACGTCCGGGCCCGCCCCGCCCGGTTCCGGCCCCGCCCCGCCCGGTTCCGGCCCCGCCCCGCCCGGGGCGGCCCCGCCCGCGGCGGCGGCGGCGCGAGGATGAGCGGGCGGCGGGTGGACGCCAAGGTGGTGCTGCTGGGGCAGGAGGGCGTGGGTAAGAGCAGCCTGGTGGAGCGCTGCGCCCACGGCCGCTTCCGCGCCGGGCCCTACCAGAACGTGAGTGACACACGGGCACCGCCGCGGTGCTGCTGCGGCGCCTCCGCGGCATCGCGTCACCCGCGTCTGCCCGGGATGAGCCCCTTGTGTGGCCCGTCCGCGCGTCGGTGCCCTCGCTCCCCCGCCGTGTCCCTCCACATCCCCGGGACGGTGTCCCCTCGTGTTGTCCCCCGCCATCCCCGGGATAGGACCCCTCCACCCCTCCTGCACTCGTTTCCCCACCGTGTCACCGGCGCGGTGCCTCCCACGTACCCACGACGGTGTCCCCCCCGTCGCTCTCATGTCCCCAGGGTGGTCCCTTCGTGTTCACCCCTCTCGATCTCCGGGCTGGTGCCCTCCGTATCCCACTCGTGCCCTCACCGTGTCTCTGGCAATGTGAGACCACATCCCTGGCACGATGTCCCCTCATGTTGTCTCCCACCATGCCTGAGCTGGAGCCCCTCTACATCCCTCTCATGCCCGTGGGTTGGTCCCCTTGTTTCCATACCCACTCCTCCTACATCCCCGGGTGTGTTTCCCCGTGTTCCCGGGCCGGTTCCCACCATGTTCCAAGGCCAGATGCTCCGGGCATCCCTGGGCCAGTCCCCACTGCTCCTCCTGCTTCACTTCCAGACGATTGGAGCCGCCTTCGTGGCCAAGGTGATGTCCGTGGGGGAGCAGACAGTGACCCTGGGCATCTGGGTAAGTGCAGAGACGAGGGCTGTGCTGACATCCCCAGCCACCCCCTGGCTCATGGATCTCCAAGAGTCACCTGCCAAGCACTTCCTTGTGTCCCACAGGACACGGCCGGCTCGGAGCGCTATGAGGCCATGAGCCGCATCTACTACCGGGGGGCCCGGGCTGCCATCGTCTGCTATGGTAAGGGCATGGAGGATGGGGAGGTCCCAGGATCCTGGGACGGAGTGGTGGCAGCACTGGTGGGTCAGGCACTGAGGAAAGCGTTGGACAGACCCTGACCCCTCTTTCTCCCCAGATCTCACCGACAGTGGCAGTTTCCAGCGAGCCAAGTTCTGGGTGAACGAGCTGCAGAACTGCGAGGAGGTACAGGGGTGCTGGGGGGGCTGCACAGCCTCACTGTGGGGCAGGGGGGCTGCTGGTAAAGACATGGGCACATCCCTCCCATCCCTCTCCCTGCCCCAGGGCTGCCGGATCTACCTGTGTGGCACCAAGTGTGACCTGCTGGAGGAAGACAGGAGGAAGCGGGGGATTGACTTCCATGATGTGCAGGACTACGCTGATGGTACAGCCACTGCTGGCCCTTCCTGGGGCTCCCGCAGCACAGGGGGTGGGGGGCATGGGGGGATGGATCTGTGTGCGAGGGGCTCTGCCCTTGCCCTGGGCCCGCAGCAGATCCGGTGGCACCAGGGCTCTGTGTGTGGTGAGGTGCCAGCTCTACCAGGGACCTCCCTGGGCACAGCATGTCCTGACATGGGCAGGCACGTGGCCAGCTGGGCCAAGGGGTCAGGAGCCCTGTCCTGGGTCTCTGCCAGCCCCCTGTCAGCAGCTGTGCCCGAGGGGTGACTGGGGGCAGCTGAGCCCTTGGGCCATATCCTGCACCTGCAGCAAGTGCCAACTTGGACCCTTGTTTCAGAGATCAAAGCAGACCACTTTGAGACCTCCAGTAAGACAGGCCAGAGCGTGGGTGAGTAGCCCCTCGCTAGGGCCATGCCCTGGGCAGAGCAGGGCCAGGGGGCTCTGCCTGGCGGGGGCACCCACACCCACTGTGCCACCTCTCCCCCCCAGATGAGCTGTTCCAGAAGGTGGCTGAGGACTACGTCAACTTTTCCGCCTTCCAGGTGATGACAGGTGAGTAGGTAGGAGCTGCCTCTCCCCAGGCACCCTCTCCTGTGCCTCTGCTGAGTGTGGAATATGAGCGATGGGGGGTCTGGCAGGGCCCTTCCTCACCTCTGCCCTGCTTGGGGCTGCTGCAGCTCTGTGCTGGGGATTGTCCTGTGGAGGTTGGGTCCCATCACAGCATCCTCGTCCCTGCTTAGGCCAGGCTCAGCATGTCCACACAGCTGGGCCATAATGGCCTTTGGTGTCCAGGAGCCTCGCTAGGCTGCAGGACTGGCTCAGCTCTTCACCAGGCCTGCCCCAGCGTGCTCAGCCTGGCTGCACCTCCCACCCTGGGCTGTGCCATTGCCTTGGGCTGTGCTGTGGCCCTGGGCCTTGCTGCTTCTCCAGGGGCACCAAACCCTCCTCATGGGACCTGCTGGGGCCCACGCCTGGGACCAGCAGCTTTGGGGCTGCCACACAGCATTTTGTGGCGTGGATGTGCCAGCAGCCTGCCGCTCCTGCTCTCTTCCAGAGGACAAGAGTGTCAACCTGGGCCAGAGGAGCAGTCCCTACTTCTACAGCTGCTGCCACCACTGAGCCCTTGTGCCAAAAGGGAACCGCTGCTGCCGGCTGGGCAGCTGGCGCACGCCGGATGCCTCCGGTGTTTTACCTGCTGTGTTTTAGCTGTTGGGGCCTGTCTGTGCCAGGGCACAAGGCCTGTGGACTGCTCTCCTCCTGGCATGTGGAGTGGCACAGGGCTGCCGTGCAGTGCCAGGATCTATGGACTGTCACCCCCAGGGACCCCCTCCCTGCCACCTGTGGCATTGGTGGGAGCTGCTGTGGCCCAGCAGCAGCCGGTAACTTATTCTCTCGGAGATGCTCAATTCTTTGCAGATTTATTTAAGCGTCTTCTCTCAAGGTGTACAATGTAAATAAAACGCATTGTGGTCTGAGCCGCCCCCTGTGCACGAGGCTTTTGGGGGTTTCCCATCCCTCCCCCGCCCCCCTCGGCAAGACAAACCACAAGAGGACATCGAGAGTAAAGTTAAACTTTACTTTACAGTAATTTTTCTTCTATATACAAAGAATTACAGTACATGTTCTGGGAGCACCTGGGCAGGGCAACCCTCTTTTCATTATAAGTTTCACATACACAGCCAACAGTCTAAGGGGAGCAAAATGAAAGTAATCAATGGTCCAAGACTCTCCCCTCTCCCTCTTCTAAAAATAATATACATGCTGGAAATATGTAGTTTTCTCTCACCTGCTCTGGCATTCCTGCTTAGAACTGACAGACGAGTCCCAGCCAGGGCTGAGCACCCCCATGTCCTCCCCTGCAGTGCTCTGGCTGGCCCCTGCCTTGGCTGGGCTCCTCAACTCCCAGTGCTTTTCCCTCTGGCTGAGCCTGTGGAACAGGACCCTGCAGGGAACCCCCATCCACTGTCACCCTGTGGGCAGCAGACCCTGGGGTGAAGGCAGCGAGGGGCTGCTCACACCAAGGTTCCCCCCACGAGCAAACCTCCTGCTCACAACTCCAGTGCAACTTAACGCTGCTGCTATGAGTGGCCCACCCCTGTCTCTGGGCAGTGAGGAAGGGGCAATGGGTAGCCACCCTCCCCAGGACCCTTGGCTAGTTGGCAGCCAGGACCCCAGCTGAGAGCATGTAGCACTGGAGGGCAGCAGGGGACATTCAAAGCCAGGGGACATTCCAAGCCAGGCATGGGGACACATTAAGTGTCTGGCAGAGCAGTGACCTCGGCACCACGGATATGCAGGGCTGGGAGTGCTGCTGCTGAAAGGCTTCCACCTTCCAGCTGCTTCCTGCCTGTGCCAGCCACTGCCAACACATCCCACCTCCCACCCATGTCAGCCTGGGCCTTCAGTTCCAGCCACGCTCCACCTTGAGTCTCCCAGTGCTGCTGCTTTTCCATTTAACAAGTTCCCAGTGTCTAAAAAAATACACAAAACCCAGTTCCTTGAAGTCAACAACTTGGAAACATCAGAAAAAGAAACAAAGACTGAAACCAGCTCAGTACCAAACGGACACGAAGAACATGCAGTAGCGGATGCCTGCTTTGCTTCACATGGCTCCACTGGCTCCCCACGAGGCCCACTGGCACACTGGTTTGAGTCTCAAAACCCTCATAAATTGAAGGAACTGAGTCACACCTCATCCTGTTTCAGTCACACAGACCCAGCTCTACAGGGATGGGATTCAGCTGGCCAGGAAGTCCCAGCCTACGGGCCAGGAGCCGTGAGTCCAGCCCTACTGTGCTAAGCTGCCAACGGTTTACAATAGCACCACAATAGCCCAAGGGTCTTGCCAAGGGCAAACTGATTAAAACTTTACCTTGAAATAGGCCATAGCTACACCCATTTCTCAGATTTCCCTAGGAGGTAGATTCAGTGCTGTAGGGACTGTTCATCACCGCCACTCCTCCAGCCCAAGCTCATACAAGCTGTCCCCTGCACTGAGCTTTGCTTACATTGCTTTTGGAGGACCTGGAGCAGGAATCTTGCCTTTTCCCACCTCCTGCTAAGCAAGGGCACTGCCACCCCACAGGTGAGACTCTTGCTGAAGCCAGGCACATGGTGGAGCAGTCCCTAGGCTCCAGTGTCCCATGTCCCAGGCCCTGGGAGCCCCGAGCACCCATCAGCCCAGTCCATGCCGCTGCAAGAGGTGCAGCCATTGCTGCAAATGATACCACCAGTGTTATCACTCTCACAGGGGGGTAATTAGCACGGGCAAAGCCTGGGAGATCGAACACAGCATCCCCCCTCCAGACTTTCAGAGTAGCTGCGTGATTTGCCACTTTGCTTTAACACACACTGGCTGGCAAAGGCCAAAAGCCTCATCAGTAATTTAGGGCAAAGCACATTACAAGCAGGTTACAATTATGGTTATTCCAAACATCAAGCAAAATCAGAAGTTAAGGCTGAAATTAAAAATAAACGGAAGGTATTGAAGGTCTGAGGTTTCTCAAACAAACTCCCCCTGCCCTGTCAGAATGCTGCCTGTGGTGTCCAGGTAGAAGCAGGGTACTACCACAGTGTGCTCAGGCTAAACCACTGCCAAGGGCATCAGGGTTAGGGCCGCTTTTTCATAATTTTTCTTCCTTTTTTTTCACTGAAAGTGAACTGAAGCTTTTCTAGCAACACATTGTCCCACCTTAATTTGTTAAGGTCCTTTGGATTCAACCATCTCTCTTCTAAATTTTAACACCAGCCACACCTTCAGAGCCTCTGCCTGCAGGGGTTTAACCCTGAATTAACACGTACTCCCACGTACCTCCCCGGATACTTTGTGTATTGAAGTGAATCTGGTTCTTGGGGTTTTTTTTTGTTAAATAGGAAAAGTTTAACTCGAGAACAGCAATAAAGCAAGCTACCATCAGCTAGTCAGCATCTGGAGATGTGCAGTAGGTGATGATCCCTTACAGTGGTAGCTTTCCTGCTAGATTCACCAGAGCCCTGGCTGACAGTGGGCCCCAGTCCAGCACTGGGGAAGATAGGACAAGCCTGCTCCCCTCCTGCCCACACATCCCACAGGTCCTGCAGTGGCTCCTCCTCTGCAACCCTCCTTGCCTGCCTGGACACTTGAGTCCTTGACCACACTGCTACTGCTCACCAGAACTCCATCACCAAAGGTCAACTAGGACTCTCTTACCCACAGTGGAAATCCAACACTAAAGTTGCTCCTACTGTGGGATGGAAGCCAGGGCCACTGACTACAGCCCATTGCTCTGAGCAGGGGAAGCCAGGCTGTCCTGACAGCAAAGATGTTGACTAGTGAAGCGTTTGTATAGGAGCAAAGCCTTCACCCCCTTCAGAACCAAGGAGTCATTCCCACAAGCGGGAATGGGGTCAGGAACCTGGGAAGTTCCTGTGAGCCTCCCTGGGACCGCAGAGCTCTGAGCAGAAATAATTACACCCCTGACTCTGCTTCTACAGCACTCCACAACAGTGAATCAACGCAAGAGTCACCTCTCATCCACCTTGGGCGCAATTAGGGCTGACCTGAGATTTAGTGACCAGGTGATTGGATCCCTCCAATGCAACAAAAGAGCACCACAGCCTTGGCAGGAGCTGCAGCAAAGCTCCGAGCCCAGCAAGTTACTTTGTCACTGTCCTCTACCTTGAAACTCCCCATGATTCCAACTGACTGAACTCTGAAGGCAGCAATGAACTGCCGCAAACGAATCCAACTGCTTCGGCACAGACATCTCCCTCTCCTCATCCAAGGCAGTGCTGCCACCACAGCAAGAGTCACGTCAAGTGCACAAGCCCACATTTCCTTCACCAGAGTTTTGCTGCCCAAAGTTGTTCCCCAGCTCCAGCTCCATGCCAGTGAGGGCAGCCTGGGTAGGGCAAGGCTGTTGGGACCTCTCTCCACATTTGGTCAGGCCTTGTCCATCTTGCTAAGGTGACCCAGCACTGCCAGACACTCCCATAAGCACCACTACTCCATCTGAAAAGCCCCCCGATCTGACAGAGCATCACCCAGGGCCCCGGTGAGGGTGAGGAGGGAAGAGGAGCTTCCTGACTTCCTCCTTCTGTGATGTTCCCCAACACCAACTTTACCAAGCAGCCTCCCAGCTATGCTGAAGTCAACCTTCCAACAGCAGCTGGAAGGTAGCAAGCTGGAAACCTGGATCCTCGTGGAAAAGGGAGACAAGAGGAGAGATGGGGTACAGTCAGCTGCAATGAAGAAGGCTGTGGGAAATGCCATGCAACAGTTTAATCCACATTCACTGTTCCAAACAAGCTTTTGGGTAAGCGCCTGCTGCGTGAAAGGCGGCTGCTGCCGTGAGCCTCAACCTGCTACGGGAGCACACGATTTATAGAAGTGATCTTTTCAAACCTGCTCTCATGAGAATTCGTTGAGAACTTCTCCATTTTACAGATTTAAAAAAGCCTGCACCAAAAATATTCACAGTTTATTTTTTCATGAAACAAGTAGCGAGTTAACACGTGACAATGCAAAGCGGAGGTGGACAGAGCAGTGCAGAGACCTCTCTGGTTACAGCGGGAGCTGGCTGGGCACCGGCACTGAGGGAACCCTACTTACACAATCTACATGACTAAGTCCAGCTCATGGGAAGGCTTATAAATGTAAATTCAAGATTTATTTTCCTTCTCACACATGATAAATACTTAATATACTGAACGTCATTACCTTTTTTTTTCTTTTTTTTTAATTTTGTTTAAAAAAGTTAACGAATGCCCTTAAGACAATCTTCTCTCTCAATGGATCTGAGTTGTCCTGATTCCCTTTCTGGAGGAGTCACGCAGAAACATAAGCTGCTTGTATTTCCCCAGTTTCAGCAGCAAGCAGGAACTGACCTGCTAGTCTTCCCGGAAAAAAACAACATTTAACAAGTAAGTTTCCATAAGCCATAAAGCTTTTCCAAGCCGTGAGCTATTCTACAAAGGATCTGAAATGATTTGGACTAGAGAAGAGATGCACCATAGCACTGGTAATGTCCCCTCGTGCCCAGCACACCCGGCCTTTTCAGGAGGACGTTGTCTCAGGGTGCACAAGTCAGGAAAGCAGAATAGACTGGGATTTGTCTCGGCACAGGTGTCTGCCTCCCTTCATAGAAAACTGCAAAGCTCATGACTGTCTGCTCTGGGAGCAGCAGGCACTTGCAAGCCAGGTGGGAACAAGGAAGCAAAGGGTCGAGTCCCTCCCATGTCAGAGGGAGAGGGTTGGCCTGGAGCTGAACGCTTCCCTTCTGGGGAGGGACCTGTGGATCAGCCTGGAAGGAGAAGGATACACACACTGGAGCTGCGTGAGGGTCTGGTGGCGGCACAGAGATCCGAGGCTGCGGCCCCAGATTGGTGGAGCTCAGGCAAACCACAGAGGTAATGTGTTGTGACAGTGGGAAAATGCTGGTCAGCAGTGCTTCCTTGGCAGGACACTGACCCCATCCAGCCCAGGCACTGCCACCAGGGAGGCCCATCCTCCTCCTCCTGCCTGCGAGGGTGCCGGTGGTCGCAAGATGCTGCAGGGCCCTGGGACTCTACCACCTGGCCCACAAGCACCACAGCCAAGCCAACTTCTGCCTCCATGCTTGAGTGAATGGCTTTCAGCAGGCCTAGTCTGGACACCAGCTTGATGACTACCAGGTACTAAACATCTATTTTCACTGGAAAAGGGAGAAGAGGAAAAAAGAAAGCCAGCCAGCTGCTGGAGCCCACCATGTTCCAGTGTGAGAACTACAATTCAGTTGGAAGGACACACACACACACACACACACACTCACACTCACCCCAACACAGTCCAGTTAATTCAAGTCTCCTTTGGTTGTAGAAGAGTTAAGCCAGAAGCTGCCCAAGGGGAAGGTGTTGAGATGGGTCCCGATACAGCTACGGAACCCTTGCCTCTGCGCTGTGCAGTGAGCGAGTCAGGTTTTGCTTGCTGCTGGCAATACCAGGTGTGATGGGAACACGTCCTGAACACGCCTGAGGCAAGGGGAGAAAGGACTGCTCAGTCCGCTGGCTCACATTGAGACAGAAGAGACTGGATGGAAATTTGAAAGGGAGCACCACTCCCTTGCCAGGGCAGAGCTCAGCACCTTGGGGAACCCACTCTGCCCTGCTCCACTATTGCTGCTTTACGGGTCACTACGTTTTCAAGGGCAGGAAAGCACTCCACATGTCCTGTGCTAAAGGATTAAGACACAAGAATGAAAACACTGCCAGACGACTACTTCCAAGATCTCTCTTTTCCCTGACTTCCTCCAGATTTCCTGTTTCTCGGGCCTGGCCAGATGCAGCTCTGTACAAAGGAGCCTGAATGGACACTGCCTATTAATGGAGAAAACTGCACTGAGTGAGTGCAGGGGCTCCTCTCCCAGCTCACTGGAGATGATCCTTGTCCTTCAGCAAACCACACACACAGCACATCCCAGTGAACATACGGATAAACCTCACAAAGCAACGCCCTGCAGGGACAGAGACCTGGGCAGACAACAAGAATCCCTTCCCTGCTTCTAGAGTCTGGCAAGGACATGTACCTGACTGCTCACCACCTGATCCTGAAACTTCTTCAGTCCCAGGGCAGCCTGACTGATCTCCTTCCTTTAAATGTAGTAATGAAAGCAAGGCCCCTGGCTGTACCTGGGAACCCACCTATGAATCAGACCTGGAGCTTGAACACGCTGGATCAGTAATGTGACCATTTCAATGGAATTGGAGATTTTCACCCAGAGTGGACTCTTTATTTCAGCTTTACCATTTGTTAAAGGAAGAGGAAAAGGTCACGGATGCTCTCTCCCCTTGCTTGGGCCAGACTCAGGTTTAAGAGAATGTCCTTGCTCATGTCATGAGAGAATATGGATGGGATGTGCATGGGTTAGGGGCTGGGCTCAGGGAAGTGAATAAAAAAAAACAAAAGAAAGATTCCCCCTCCCTAAACATTAAACAACTGAAACCTGCCTCCCATATTTACCAACCTCACTTTGGCTCTGAGTCGGCCAACTCACGACAGACAGAATCCTGGTTACAGGCTAACGCTGTGTTTTGTTCAGGCAAAGGGTCCTGCCCCCGAGGAGTCTGTGCTTTTCCACCCAGCCAAGAAATCTGGTCAATTGTCTGAATGTTCGTGACAAGCCACTGCATCTGCTCTGGGGGCACTGGCGCTTCCCTGGCTGGCCGAGGGGTCTGCTCGAATGCACGCAATCTCTCTGATGTCCACGGGGTCTGCTCTGCGGGGGCTGAGGCCACTTCCCAGCTGGGCTGAATGGTTGGCTCTGGTGGTTTCTCTGCTGTCCGGGAAGGCTGCTCAGCAGGCATCAGGGCTTTTGCAGTGGGCCAGTGGGTCTGCTCGTGCGTCTGTAGTTTCTCCGTAGGCCACGGTACTTGTCCAACATGCGTCACTACCTTCCCAGCAGACCAAGAGATTTGCTCCCCAGCTAACATGGTCCTCTCTTTCTGCTGGGGATTCAGCTCCATGGCCGGGGCTCCTCTCTCCTTCGGTTGAGCATTCTGGTCGACAGGTCGCAGCGCCTTCTCCGACAGCAACAGCCTTGGAGCTGATGCAGCCAGAGGCTTATCCAAGGCTTGAGGCCGAGGAGCCACGGCAGCAGTCAGCTTGTCTGATGCCTGAGGCCACGGGGCTGTAAGAGCGAGAGGTCTCTCCAAGAGCTGAGGCCGAGACACCCCAGAGCTGAGAGCCTTTTCCAGAGGCAGGACCCGCAGGGCCCCGGAGTCAGCAGCCTTCTCCGGAGGCAGGGGTCGCAGCACCCCAGGGGAGAGAGCCTTTTGTGTGAGTGGGATCCGCAGGGCCCCAGAGCTCAGAGCCTTGTCCACAGTCAGGACGTGAGGCGACCGGGAGCCAGGGGCCTTCTCCGGAGTTAGGGGCCACGACACCCCTAAGCTGGGAGCCTTCTCTGTGGGCAGGATCCGTGGCATACCCAAGGCAGGAGCCTTCTCTGGAGTCAGGGGATGGGGTGACCCAGAGCTAGGAGCCTTCTCTGTGGCTGGGACCCGCATTGCAGTGGAGAAGGAGGCATTTTCTAGAGGCAGGGGTCGTGGCACTGCCGATCCAGGAGCCTTCTCTGCAGGCAGGATCCGTGAGACAGGGGAGTCGGGGACTTCTGCAATGGGCAGAGGCCACAGCACCTCAGGACTGGAAGCCACCTCCAATACTGGGACCTGTGGCACCACAGAGCTGGGATCCTCTTCCACAGACTGTGGCTGTGGGCTCTGGGCAGAAGTGTCATCCAGTGGTTGGAGCTGATCGGCCTCAGGAGGCTCATCTGCCGGCTGGGACTGCAGCGTCCCCACCGTGGCGAGGAGTCTGTCAGACAGTGGAGGATGCAGGCATTTTGTGGGGAACTCATCCAGCAGCTCAGGCTGCTGGGTCCCGGTGTCAATGAGGGACTTGTCCGATAACCCCAAAACCTCAGGGGTGTCTGGAGGCTCGTCTGACAGCTGGAGCTGCAGGGCACCAGCAGTAACAAGCGACTCATCCAACGACTGTGGTGATCCCGGAGGAGATTTGCTCGGCAGCTGAGGCTGCGAGGTGTCACTGGAGGACTCATCCAGGGGCCAGAGCACCGCGTTGGTGGGAGGTTTGTCGGGCTGCTGAGGCCGCAGCGCTACGATGATGGGCTGCTTCTCTGACTGCAGCCTTAGGGACAGGGCGGCCTGGGGCTTGTCTGACGGCTGCAGGCGGAGTGACAGGGTGGTGGGAGGTTTGTCCGAAGGCTGCAGCCGGAGCGAGAGGGTGGTGGAGGGTTTGTTGGATGGCTTCAGCCTCAGTGACAAAGTGGCGGGGGGTTTATTTGATGGTGGCAGTCTCAGAGCCAGGGTGGCGGGTGGTTTGTCTGGTGAAGGCAGCCTGAGGGCCAGGGTAGTGGGGGGCTTGTTTGACGGCTGCAGCCTCAGGGCAAGGGTGGTGGGGGGCTTGTCTGATGATGGCAGCCTCAGCGCCAGGGTAGCAGGGGGCTTTTCTGGTGACTGCAGTCTGAGGGCCACAGACTGAGGTAGGCTGTCCAGGGTCTGAACGCTCAGGTCTGTGTCTGCCTCTGTGTCTACCTCTGCAGGCAGCTGCTCTGGTGGCTGGGTGTCCTCTCCATTAGTCAGGGCTTCTATGGGAGGCACATACTCACGAATTTCTCCTGGCTCTAGAGGGTGAGGCCCACAGGGATCGTGCTCCGTACAGCATAATCGTCCATCCAGCTTGGAGATGAAGAGCATTCCTTCCCGGTGCTGCTTGCAGAAGGACCTGGGGCACATCTCGCAGAACGAAGCTGCTTCCTTACCACACATATCACACTGATGCCACGGGCACTCCCATTTTCCTGCAGCACAGACATAGGAGAAAAGACACACCTCAGGAGTAGTACAAGGGGAAGAGACAAAGGCCTGCTGCAACGTGAGCTCAGGGGAAAGTGGAAACACCTGTGTAATACTCTCATACAATTCTACATGTCCTCCTCAGTTTCCACCATAGCTCCAGGCTTGACGGGCAGGTAACAGGAACCTGCACTCTCAGAAGCAACAAGGGCAATGATAATCATGACAAACACAAGCCACGTCAGGTCAGACCAAAAGCCCATCTGGTTCCTGCACAACACAAACTAATAGGAGTGCCTAGAGAAGAGCAGACACCCCCAGCTTGCAAATCTCTGTGGCTCTGAATTCCAGAGTACATCAGTGGTGTCTGTGCACAAAACACAGTGGACCTTTTAAGTAGATGTGTCAGATTCATCTTTTGATTCTGTGTCAACAACCTCCCTTCCTGTTTATCAGAAAGAAGAAGCGAGAGAGCAGTGATCACAAGGGGTAAGTTCTTATTGTCTCTTCCTATTGTACCTTCCTTAACCTCTGCCCATGAAAAAACTACAGCTTAACACAAAGCTGCTCCCTTAGGAGCTCCACGTTCACAGTGAATCTACTGACCATCAGTATCGACACCATCAAGAGGAAAAAACCCTACTTCAGAGATTGCTGGCAGACACCACTTGGGCAAGAGCACTTCCCAGCCTCCCTGAACCAAACCCACACAGCTGTGGCTGTGGTTACCAGCTCTTTTCCAGGGATGCTGGTGTGTGGCCATTGGTCCCTGCACTTGTGCAACAGCAGCTCTCCAGGTTGCTTTTCCCCTGGGGTTGAAGACTACACGTAGCATGCTTTTCTCCTCCTTTGAAGCCAGTCCAAGGCTTCTATTCCAGTCTCAAAATATGCACACTGCTTTTCTATGTCTTTTCCAGTTTTTCACCATTTTTTTCCAAGTGGGGATGTTTAACACCTCACATGGTTTCCCCCTTTCCTGGCTCACAATGCTGCAGCACAGGCTGCCACTGCTCCCCCTGCATCAGAAGCATCCCAGAGAGCCACACTCAACTCAGCTGGGCCACTGAAAAGACTCTAGGACCATCCTTATAGAGGTCATTTGTACAGATGGAAAATAAAAGGTCAAAACCTGCTAGTTTGTTGCAGGAAGGATCAATCCTATCAAACCACTCTAATGATCTTTGACAGAATAAAAGGCCTAATGAATAAGCACTCTCTCCAGAGACAGCCCTGAGCTCTTGGAAGTAAGATCACACAATTAGCAACATGCAAACAAGCAGGAAATTCCAATTACTTGACAGCAATGCCCATGGCAGAGGAAACATTTGAAGTAGAAAGTGCTGAACCTTTCATGTCTTGCATGATACTCTGAGGAGCAGGCTATGGAAATCACAGCCTATGTGTAAAAAAAGTAAAATTGCTACAACTGACTGAAAATCATTCTCAAAAAACAGCTATCAATGGTCTTGTGGTAAACTGAGGAGGCATTTCAAACTACATCCTTCAGGATTATATTTTAATTTGTATTGTAATTTAAATTTCTAGAAGCAGAACAGCAAAGTACTCTTACATAAACAGGTAGGTAACAACAAGGCTGTGAGGTACTGCAAAAATCCAGTTGGACAGGCTCAGAATTTAACTGGACAGATGCTTTTGCATGAACAAGGTGTAATTATATGAAGACCAGTGTAGGATTGCAGGAGGAAGAAATAAAATAAATATGTGAAAAGGATCGAGTAAAAAACTCAAAAATTATAAGGAAAATAACAAACCTCACATAAATATAAAAACTATTTTTGCAAGACAAGTCAAACATAATTTCCCAAGAAATTTTATGTAAAACACAAAATATAATTATTTTCTTCTGTCAGAGTTAGCAAGGCCTTGGGTGCAATGCTGTTAAAATACTTTCACTCAGTTTTTAAAAATGTGTAGGCAAGTGGGATGCAGTCCAGAACAGACTAAGAATAAAAACTTCAGAAAATAAGAGCTGCAATGAGAAGCTGTGTTGTATAAGCTGGAAAAGGAACAAGACAATAATTTGTCTCAGTATGCAAAAAAAACATGTAACAGAGCTGGCAATCCTTTGTTTTTTCAAGTCAGGCTGTTAGGAGAAGCTTTTCAAGCAGAAAGCAGGAGAACAGGCTAAAGGCTGGATTCTCCTGTATTGGAGACTTTAAAGGACAGGAAAATTCGCCAGGATGTTACAGCGCACGAAAATGTACAGAAAGGTATATTCAGGTGTATTCCCTCACCCTGCATGACAACGTTCCATAGGGATGACCTGCCCTCCCACTGGCTTTCACACTGCTTTGCTACAGTTTGTTCAATGAGCCATCCAAGCTCTTCTGGATAAATGCCCCATTCTCCCTAAAACTTAACACATGCACACACCTGATTTCTGTCCTCTACAAAACATGTCACCAGCCCTGGTACACCTCCTGCCAGATTACAGCTGGAGGTGCTGGCTGCCCAGTTCTGGCTCTCATGGCACAGACAAATACTCTGCTGAGTGATTCTCCTGGCTGATACTTTCAGAGGCCACTTGGTTCCATGTTTCCCAGCCTCCAACTGGTTCAGCCTACAGAGCTGCACAGAGAATTTCTAACTGTGACAATGTTATCAGTATTGAGCCTGTTTCTTTCTCTGCACCCAACTAGAAGTACTTTTTATTTCAAATTTCTGCCCTCACTTCACCACAAACTAGGATATGCTTTGATACTGTTTCATTCAACTGTCTTCAACTTTGGGAAAATGGCCAATATGAGGATCAATATCTCAACTATTGTTGGGGCTGTGCTCTGCCAGGCCCCATGGATGGGATCAACTCACAAACACCATTTTTTAGGCAAGGACCAGCTCCCCCTTCAGCAATTAGTTCACCTTTTTGTGGTCACAGTGGGGTGCAAACCAGGGTTGTGTCATTTGAGCCACGAGGTCTGTTCAAGTGAGAAAGATTTTTCCAAATTTTAAGATGCTGTGACTCAAGTTCAAGATGACAAGCAGCACCTGGGCCACCTCGACCCAACAGTGTGACCCAAGCAGAGCCCAGCCATGCAGAGCACTGACCTGCAGGTCTCTTGGTCAGGTTGAGGCAGTCTGCATGGTACACCTTGGGGCAGCCTGACTTCTTACAAGAAACCAGCTGCCCTCCGTCCCCACAGCTGAAACACTCGTCCTCTCGCTCCTTCATCACCTCCGCCTGCGACCTGCGCTTCATCTGTGGCCGCCTCTTCAGCTTCTTGGACTTCTCCTCGGTGAGACTGGGCTGGCTCTGTGGGCAAGACAACCCTGGTTACTGCAGCACTCTGCCCCTTCCACCTGCTCCCTTCCTGCTGCAGGAGAAAACCACAAACCCTGTCAACAGAAACCCCACTGCCAGCCATACATGAAACCTGTGCAGAACCTCTAGTGCTGCTTGGTATTTGGCAAACAATTCACTACAGCAAACAGCTCTCAGTTATTTTGAAAAGCACCAAAGCCTGGTTCACAACATGGGATATACACAATTAGCAACAGCAGAATGACGAGTTGGGGCTGCCTGGTATCACCGAGCTCGTGCCATCTCTCACAGACTCTTCAGTTCCTCAGTCAAAGCAGTCAGATCTCCTTGTATCCACGACTCATGAGGAGTCTCATGAGGGCCTTCCTGCACTTTCTGATGTTCATAATTTCTCTATTTTCAGTCTGAATTTATCTGTGATCAGTTTATTCTTATGTCAACACTGCTCTTTTCCATCAGAATCATGGAATCATTCAGGTTGGAAAAGACCTCCAAGATCATTGAGTCCAACCTTTGAAGCTTTTCTGTCTCCCTGAAGTAACCTCTGGGACACAGTCTCCTCTTCACAAAGTGAAACTTTCAATTTGCATGCTCAGTCTTCCCAATGGCTTTTCTCTGCCAATATTGAGTTTATTTATCTCAAACAAAAGTTACAGAATTACACATGCTACTTCAGATGACACCTCACAGGCTGTGTACAATGACATCAACACCCCCAAAGCACTGCTCACATTTGCCTTTTTCATAGCTGTGTCACACAACAGCTCAGTCCTGCAGCAGCTGAGCTGCAGAATGGCTCCTTCTCGGCCATGAGTGCTCAGCCATGACCTTCTCATGGCAGAGTTATTTCTGCTGTTACTCTCCAGGTGTGTACTATGGCATATCCAATCTCTGAACTCCAGTCCATTCCCTGTTATACTCAGTTATTCTTTTGCAACTGCCCCATCCTCTCACTCTCCCACATCGATGACAACTGACACATTCATGTCATCAGTACAGTTAAATTACAGACATATAAGGAAATAACTACAACTGCTCTCAAGACAGGCAACTAAGTGGCTTAAGTGCTCTTCTCTGGCCTAAGGTTTCCTCCAACACTGCTCCCCCATTCCACCTTCAAGCCTGGTCCTCAGACCACTCCTAACCTCCTCTCCAGGCCAAGCCTCCCCTTGTGCCAAACACTCAGCTCCACAAAGATGATGCTGTCTTGTTCCCAGTCCTGACTTTATCAAAGCACTATCAGTTTAGTTTATCTAAGCAGACATGAGCTAAATTTTGTGCATCTAAGTTTTGTACATCTCTTTGTGTTCAAATATGCGTTCTGCATGCAGGACATCTCTGTGTGCTGAAACAATGACTACAAGGCGACTTTTGCATCCTTTCTTCTGCATAAATATTGGGCACTGTTTGCATCACCAGAACCACCAAAAGATTTAAAAGCCTTGGTCTCTAGACCTACAACTTCAGAACTCTGCAGAGATGGCTATCTAGCTTTCCTGCCACCAAGGATTTACATCTCTAAATTGTTTCCTTCCTCCTCACAGGTGGATCTTACTGTTTTTATACCACCATTCCCCCTGACAATGGGGACAAGCCAGGTCTTTCTTATCACTAAAAATGCAGGCACTGAAATGCCTCCACCTAAACTATTCCCACCTATTCTCAGGGTCTAGTTCCTTGGCCATCTAATTACAAAGAGAACAAGAAAATCCCTTCACAGCTAATTTGAATGTCTAAGAGAGGTCTAACAGCTGGACTAAGCAATTCCACTTGCTCCCTGCAGTACAATAGACTCCTAAGCATTCTTCCACACTCTCAAGGCACTTTCACACTCTCAAGGGCACTTTCAAGAGTGAACTTGAGTATAATCAGTTTTGTCTTGCTATGTCTTCAGGAAGCTTAAAAATGCATCTATTGTGGTAGGAATTAAAAAAAACCACCACCAACAAAAACCCCAAAGTACTGTTTTCTCTGTATTGTTTCTTAGTCCATCTCATCAAGATGGAATGAGTCGCCTCAGACACCACAATGGAACATAATACCAACTAAAGGGCACCTTCCCCTGATTTCCATCATGCAACCTGCAATTTCAAGGCAAAAATGACAGTCAAACCATGTATAACACAGGAGCAGCACAAAATCAATTGAACTTTAAATCGCGACCTGAAAAAGAACTAAATACATCAGATGTGTATTTCTCCTCATCTGTCAACTTCTGAAGACATCCATTTTTTATTTTTATAAGTCAATTTTTCTGCAGAACTAATCTCCCTGGAGAATTCACAAAACCTTCCCTAGATATTGATGGGGCTGAACAACTGTGCTGCTCGAGTTTTAACCCTTAACTGTCGGCATGCCAGAATGCACATGCCAGAGCAGAGGGATTACAGACTGATTTGGTCTTGCACTTGAAACAAACCAGCAGCTGAGACATAGATTTAGCGGGTGACAGCTGGGAACTCGGCCAACTGCTCCTGTTATTTCCTTTTCCCAGTGAGAACCAGCTCACACAAGGAGGTAATTGAAATCAATTCCTGTTACTGCAACATTACAAAGTTGCAAATCGAAGCTCTCAAAAAGTCAGTGAGTTCTAAAAACTGGTGATTTTTCTACTACAGATATGGCAAATTTCTTATTTCTGTCTGATGTGTAAACTTTGGTCACTAAATTAAAAGCAGGATAAAACCAGGAACTTTACTGCAACAAAGACAGTGAGGTAGGAGCCTTCTGGCTCTAAAGCAACTCCAGCCTGAAGGAATGTGCATTTGCTGGCCTTTCATACATGCTCACAATTTACTCAGCCCTTTACTTTGGGAAATGAACTGAGTTGTATTTTCTCGGTTATCTGATGAAGTCTATCCCATGCCTGTCCTTTGCTCCTCTAGTGCAATGGAAACTGCCATGATAAGAAGCAGAAAATTCTGAAAAAATCTTCCAGTTACTTTTTTGCTGTAAAATAAAATTTCCCGTCGTCATTTATAGCAACTTTGATAACTGAAGTATAAGATCTGCTATCTCAAAATGAAAGCTTGAATATTCAAGCAGTGTTCTCATAGCCACACTGAAACAGGATTAACTCTGGGACCTGAAATCTCTGCAAAGAACATACAGGTCTATGCAAAGAGGTGATGTGGAAGAACAAAAGCTTAAAGGATGCACCATACCTTTGGCCTTACTCCTAGGAAGCCACTGCAATTTGGGGCACCACATTTACAAACGGTCTTTCCATTTCCCAGACACTCCAGATTGTAGTTGAAAGTCAGCTCAGTCCCTGGCACAAAAGCAGATCAAAACCAAGCAAGTTGTAATGAACTACATTTTAATGCTGAAGTAAAAGCACTTAATGTAATATAAATGTCACAGAAGGCTGTCACCACTACACAAGGACACCAAACTCTTAATCTTCCCAGAGATCTTTGTGGATAGAAAATTCAGTGAAACTCCACACTTGTAGCACATATTACAGCTAAAAAGGATCCACCCTGTAGCAGGGCCATTTCTTGTCCCTGTAAATCAGAACCACAAACCTCCATTGATACCATGGCTCTTTGTGTTTCATTACGTCAGCGCTGGTGTTAAGTCTCATGGATGCCTATATGAAACCAAAAATTAAATCTCTTCCCAGGGAGCTACAAACCCTCCTTTTTCATTACAGAACCCCCCCAGGGTTAACTGCAGGCACTGGCAGAGTGCAGCTCCTTACCAGCTTTGATATTTACAAGTGCGAAGAGCCCGACTCGTGTGTCACCGTTCACACACCATTTCTGAGTCTCACAGTTGGGCTGGCAGCAATGGTTCATGAACCGAGCGTAGTTGCCCTTTGGCCCAGCATCAATGATTCGATCCTAGAATTGAAAAAAAAGCCCAGAAAACCACATTTTAATCAACTGTCATTTCCTGCACTGACATCTCTGGTCAGCGCTGGCAGATCATATGGAACTACAGTCTCCTGCACATCATCTTCCTCTTAAAAGACACACAGGCTCCAGACCAGCCAAGATAGTGCTACCGCTACTTTCTGGGAAGCAAGCTCTCCCTGCAGTGTCAGTACTGGATAAACACCACCCCAACATTTCCAAGGCAGTGCCTGTGGTTCCAGGCCCCAACTTCTGCTTAAAAGCAAAATACCAGTTCCTACTTCTTGCACGTCAGTGTATAGAAGGAAAACAGGAACAGTATGTAAAATGAGGTACACTTGCGTACAGCACACTGCCATGTGTTAGACTGTGCTGGACAGGGAAGCTGCAACTGAGATTTGCTTTTGTAATAATGAGGGACATTAACACTTGGGTTTGCCCCTGCTCCCACCCATCAGCCAGACAAGGAGAACAAGATATGGTGAGTGTGAACTTCCAGCAAGACGAGGGGAGAGACAGAAAACAATCACACTGTTATCCTGTCCCACACTTGACAGCTCTTTTCCATGCTTGCTTTCATGGTTTCCTTCTCATCTTTCCAAGGCTGAGTGACAAAGTGTGGGAAGCAGCTGACGAAATAACTTACCTCTGAAAGCCAGGAGTGCATACCAACAACCTGGTTGTTGTCCAGGACCCACTGAGGCATCTATGGGTGTAACTAACTCCATTGGCTCTACTTAGCACAGCAAGACCTGGGATCTGAACTTAAATGAAGGTCTCACTGCACCTGAAACTTGTACATGTGAGGGCCAATGCACACATCAGTCCAGTTCTGGGCTCTCCAGGGTTCAGCTGCCGGGAAGGATCCCAAGGTTACCAAATTCTCCCTGTTATGCTGAAGCAGGATCTATGATCCTCAGACAACTGTCCTCAGAAAACTGCCTCACCTCTTCTGAACAAACTCCAAAGTCATCAGTTCAGACTTTCCTCCTAATCCTAATATCCAACCTGAGGCTTCCCTACTGCATGTTAAGTCCATTCATTTGGTCATCTCTTCAGTGGAATGCAGACCAGCTCATCATTGACTCTTAGTACCTTTTTACAAGTTGGAGAAGACCACTATCACGCCTTCTTTGCAATCATTTTACTTCTGTCTAGGATCCTGGCAAATGATTCCTTTCACATACCTTATCCAGTGTCAACATGTAGAAATTGGTAATGTCATGCTCCTGAGCATAGCGGATTCGGGCTCGGCACTCCTCTTCATCAATTAGCTCCCCAACATACTCATTAACAAATTCACCCTGCCAGAGAGGAAACAATAAGCTGATAAGACAAGACAAATTCCCTGCAGGAGGGAGGGACATCCATCTTTGTGCTAAAACTTAGCTCCTGTTTCCTTCCTAAAAATCTCTCTCTGCGCTTTGCAGCCGGTTTGACGTACCTTCCTGATGTCTGTTTTGGCTTGCAAGCCCCAGCCTCGTGCCAGCGTGCGGAAGATCTGTACCTCGGGATACTGGCGCTTGGAGAAGCACTGGTTCTGGCAGCGCTCCCCAGCAGGACACACCATGGGGTGGCACTCGTAGAGCAACATGCGGTTGATGCACTCGGAGTCCAGGCCGCAGGGGTTTTCATCGGTGGGTTTGCAGTTGCAGCGTGGGATCTCGGACAGGTCTGCAGTGAAGATCTGCACCTTCCCCACCGGTCGGTTCACCTTCAATGCACACGAAGGACATGAGCTCTTGGGAACAATGGGTTATCCTGACAGGCACTTCTACACTCAACCCCTGCCTACGAGCTGATGTGCTGCAGTGAGTTAGTTACAGCGAGGGCAGAAGGACATGAGCATAGGCACAGCTGTACTTCTGGGAACACTATTTCAAGAGGCACAGGGTTAAAGGGAAGAGCTCAGGAAGATGTGGGTCCCCCATTAGCATCACCTGGTGCAGTGTGTAATATGTGACCCTGGAAAGTGCCCCCCTCCCATCACCACTGTGACCACATCCAGCGCAAGTGGCCCAGCACTCCCTCTTGGGCACACACCATACCTGTGATCAACACCAAACCATTTTCTGCATCAAACTGCACCTTCTACAGTCTGAGTGCCAGGTGCTTTTCCTTAGCTTTTCCTTACTGCCCTGTTTTTTTAATGTTACCATCAGGCTGATTTGTGCCCTCAAATGTCACTACGAGAATCAGGCTGGCAGACCTGTGACAGACAGCCTACCACGCAGTTACCTCCCTACCCAACTGTCCTGCAGATGTTAATGGAAGCCAAACCAGAAAAGGCTGGGGTTGGAAGGCCCAGAGATGAGCTCAGAGATAAGCCAAGGAGCTCTTTAAAAACCGCTCCAGAAGGAAGCAGAGTGCAGCACCAGGTGGAGAAGCGACTGGCGTGTCTGTGGCATGAGCTGGGTCCCTTGGGTTTGGTTAAAGGCAGCGAACGCTGAAAGGCAGGCAACAGAGAGTCAGGACTTTGGAGAGAGACACTGAAGAAAAGCTCCTTGCTGTTCTTTCCCCGGGTGAGCCATTGGCTCACTTTCCTCTCCCAGAACATGAAAGGAAGGGATCATTTAGCAAAACTATTCCAGCCCCCCATATAATTTATCTAGTCCCACCCACAGGGCAGAGTTTCCGTGCTGACAACCTGCCTGAGACTGGCCCAGTTCTGATCCTCCTCCCTTGTTTAAAAGCAAACCCTGCAGAAATCCCTCATTAATCTCTTCAACACTGTCTCCCCCTTTCCTCCTAGTACTGCCTCCCACCTCCGACCTTCCTTGTCACTCATGTTCCCCTATGTTTCTTTCCATCTCTTACCCAGACTCATCACGTCATTAAGAGTGGTAAGACTCAAAGATTAGGTCAGTCCAACACTGGCACTGCTTTGGCATTGCTGCTCCACACATGCCCAGCACACCTGCCCTACTCTCCAGAACAAAACCAGCTCCAAAACAGGGTGATGCTTGGACTAGTCACAACTCTGACAGGATGAAGGATCCCAAATGTATTTTGCAGCAGCTTCTTGTGTTGGTGATCCTTGGTATGGATCCCGACGTGCTGATCTTAAAAAACCAGGACAGGAATGGACACAACCAGCTTCAGCCATTCCACTCTGAAGCCTTCTTCAGTTCACCATCTGCTCCTGCAAATTGCTTTGCTTTCACAGAGACAAACAGCTTGCACCCAGATCTCAGAAGAGTTGCCATGACTAATGACCACAACCGTTATTATTTATATAAAAGGGTATTTCAAAGGCTCCAAGCTGCTTCCAAAGTTCCTTCATGTTGCAGCCAGAGACAGGCCTAAAAATAGCTATAATGAGAAACTACTTCCTCCACTGAAACTGCCTGGCCCATACTGCTGCCACAGCATTCAGTTGTGCTCTTTACAGTGCACAGTAACTCATGCACAATATACCTGCCTGCCTAGAAATTCTAACTAGACACAAAAAGTGCCAGCAAACAGTTATGTTTCCACAGTTTGCCATATAAAATAGGGAAGGAGCAGACAGAGGCAATTAAAAAAAAAACACAACAGAGTCCCTGAGTCAACGGGTTTCTGGTCAGTCGGGACCCACATCTCATGCACAGGTACACCATGGCCCCAGCTCTCCTGTCAAGTCACCTCCACCCTGTAGCATTTCTATTGCTGTTCCAACTCTAACTCCAAATACAGCCCTTAACATGAACAGTTACCCAAAACTGAGGAAAAGGGTTGGTATTTCAGCATGTACACCCCCTTTAGTATTTCTGTTCAGTCACTGATACAGAAAGAAATAAAAAGGAATAGCAGAGATGATACAAGATACTGTGGGTTACCACCCTCCATGGAGCTCTGCTGCACTGTACCCAGACCACCTCCTGTCCTGCACCACCTGGTTTGCCCACCTTGCCATCAACAACATGAAGCATTTGAGCATATTGAGCATTACCAGCATTCTCCCAAGTTCTCAAGGTAGACACTTCCTTCAGACCACACAACTGACATGGACAACACAGACATGTCCAGATCTGTTCCAGGAAATGAGAGCACCTCTGTTACTGGTGCCAAACTTGCTGCAGCCCTGAACATGAACTGGAATTGGAGAACAACTGAGGATGCCAAGAGGACCAAAGTCACCTTTAAACACAGCCAGACACCCAAACAGTAGAAATGTTTCTGTATACCTGTAAATCACCTGCACCGACAGCTCAAGGCTTCTCTTCCGCACCTGCCCCCCACCACCTCCCCTCACCTTGATATGTTTGTAGGGAGGAGGTTTCTTGTCGTTCTTTTTGTCTTCCTGAAGCTGTCTCAGTTCTTTCTGTGCCTTCAACTCTTCAAATCTCACAGCAGCTTCTTGAAGAGCTAAGTGAAAGAACAGGCTGTGTTATGAGGAACTCCCTCTGCTCACACAGAGCTGGGCAGCCATTGCCCACCCAGTGCTCACAGTTCCACAAGCAAACCAGCCTGGCTCTGCACTCCAGAGGCAAAGGCTCACTGGAAGGGGGTGAAGAAAAGGCCAAAGCAGCAGGGCAGTGTAGGAATTACAGTCAGAGACCTACCCATGGGTAGCCAACTGGTGGCTATCTTTGCCTGCCCTCCTGGGCAGAGGCACCAGCAGCTGCATCACAACTCCCAAGTGCATTTTTGTATAGAGATAATGATTGTATTAGACAAAGGGAAGCTGATAAAGCAGCAGCTCACTTGGATTTTGAGAGATTACGTCAGAGAAGCATTTGAGATCTGCACGCCCTTTTGCCTCTCTGGGAGTCAAACAAACATTCTGAGTGTCCTGGATGATACACAAGCAGCAGCTCATTCTACAAATTTAATTTCACTTTAGTTACAAGAAAACATCTTCCTCTGTTACAGGAATGCCACTTCTCCAAATGGGAATGAAGAGGAAAACACCATGCACACTTCCCTGGATAAAGAAAAGTTACCTTTCTTGTATATGCCATCCACGCCCTTCCCCATCTTGTCTTTGCTGCTGACATCACCTTCCATGTAAGGGAACACACGAGCCTGGTGTGTCCACAGGTAATCCTTGGAGCCGAAGAACAGCACAGGGAACTCACCGATGTCATGCTTCATTTTCTGGATATTGACAGGAATTGTCCTAGGATGGCAAATCTCAGCTGGCCACCACCTGCAACACAGGGAAGAGCAGATGAAACCCCTGGCTTCCCCACTTCCAGCCACCTCAGAAGTATGCTACTGCATGGGGACATGGGAAAGTCTGTGTGAGGGCTATCAGCAAGGCTGGTGGGGAGACAGGAAGCTACTGGAGGAGGAAAGCTTACATTTTACCAGCTATGTGCATGCAAAAAAAGTCAAGAGGCTGCTGCACTGAACCCTCTAGAGAGGAGCAGCTTCTCAGCTCCATCACCATGAGCACTGCATGAAGAAGGGATGGGGAGAAGTCTGTTCTACCTTCACCTACCTGTAGCGCCCAACTTTCACCCAGACTACTTCTTTGTAGTGTGGCTTTTTGCCTGCCTTGCAATCATTACAATACCAGCTTCCCTCTGGCATCTCAATGTTTAGACACTCACGATGAAATGCAGCCGGGCACGACTCGCAGCATAAAAGGCTGCCCCCTGCAAAGAGAAGGAGGAGGAATTTATCAGTCACTGTACAGAAGCCCTGGATTCAACACTTCCAGACAGATACAGCTGGGAAAAATGAACGATGCTCTCCTGCAAGCTCTTTTAAAAAGTTGGGCCCTACTCACGCTACAAAAAGAACCCTTCTAAGGATCTAGAAAAGGTCCTAGCCTGAAGTTAGGCTTAAATATGGATGGATAGGAAGGCAGTCTGTTTCTCTGCAGTTCTCACTGGCACACTCTGGGTGGGAAAAGCTTCTGCCCCCTCTAATGAATCCCTGTCAGGGCATTCCTTGGTGACAGGGGACCCTGCGCAGACCATCTCACCTTCCGAGCAGACAAAGCACCAGCTGACGTTGACGTGCTCGTGGTTGCGGCAGCCCCTCCGCGCGGTGAAGTGGTTGGGGCAGATGATGCTGTTGGAGGCGAGGACCACGGAGCCAGCAGCGAGGCAGAAATCGTTGGAGTGATACGCAACCGGACACCGCACACAGCGCATCAGACGACCTAGCACCAGAACACACCAGAACACAGTGAACCTCTAAAGGAGGATGACTCTTTCCTTCTAAAACTAGACTCTATTCATATCTAAGCTCAGAATGAGCTTCGGAAAAGGAAGGTGACCTTTAATTTTCATAGACCATCACCGACATATTCATTAGATTCCTATTAAATTATTTAATATAACATATTGTATATAAATCTTTAATACATATTTGTATATAACATAGATAAAATAGTATTATTTACAAGTGAAAAACCTCCTGCATGCTGTGCAGAAACAGTTCAAGAGTTCACAGACTGGGACTGCTTCCTATCATACACATATAATTACTAAATCAGCTCAGACAGTAATTACAGAGGGGGTGTTCCAAGTGCTTAGCTGCACATAGTGAAATCAATCCACGTAGCTTCTGAAAACATCAGCACTTGCCTTTTTACTTTATCAGATTTTACCCTGAAATTCCAGAACTTCCAGGCAATGCACTTGCCTACACACCTAATTTATGCAAGGTTTTTGAGAGCCTGTTTTCGGTTCCTCACAGCAGACTACAAACAGGAAGAAGAGGTGGGAGAAAAGGGGTAAATGTGACCACCAAGAAGCTGCAGCCAGTCAACAAATGTTCAGTGGGGACGTGGCTGGCTGTGGGCTGCAGGCTTTAGGCCTTGGTGTTGTTTTCTACAGCAAGATATGTGGGGGGAAAAAAGGCAACTTTAACACAGACCCTGAGGACAAAAATAGAGTTGGTCTTATTGACACTTGCCTTAAGATACCAAGGATTTAAAGAAAGGCAGCTTTAGAAGCAAACATACATAGCAATCACATAAAAGTTTTAAGTTTAATCCTGTGAGATAAAGGTCAAGGTATTGCTGCAAACAGCTCCAACAAATGTTTGCCTGGGAAGCTTAGCCCAAGGGTGTTACTACTACAAGACAAGAGTTTACATTAAAATAAAAGGAGAACTAGAACAAAATCATAGTTTGCCTTCCACTGCATTGACAGGTAGTGCTTCTAAGAAAGGCACTATCTGCAGCACTGGCACAGGGAGAAGCAGGTTGGAGAAGCATGAGTGTGTCTGTACAGCTCCAAGGATTTGCTGAGAAAACCAGCAAGGCACGTGGTGTGGCTGGGCATGCAGGAATCCGAGCCTCTGGAAAGCCTGAGAACATTCCAGCTGCCATGTATGACCACGAGCAGTGCCGCTGAGCAGCTGCCTCGCATCACCCCTTCTACTCCTCTGGGAGAAGCTATTCCTCAGCAAACAACATGTGGCAAGGACAGAAAGGCAACATAAAGACCAGGTAGCTGCACAGTGGATGTGAAACAAAGAAAAGGCATGTAACTGCACCACCTAGACCACCCTGAAAGACTCAGTACCTTTAGACGCAGAGATGTTTGCTGGGTTAGCAGCATGGCAGGTCATGCAGATGTGCAGGGAGCAGCGGAAGCCCTTGTTCTGCATGACTGTGGGTGGATATTTCTGTATGCAGGCTTCGTGGTAATACTTCCCACAGAGGGGCAGCAGGCACCGCTTCACATCCTCCCCACAGCTCTTGCACACAAAGCAGGTGTGGACCCCTGGAGAAAGAGAACACACCGGTCGCATAGGAAGGCTAAATGAGGACCTGATGCGTCCACCAGGCTGCGTGATAGCACAGCACAACTTCCCAGCCTGGCTGCACCCATCCCAGAGCACAGCTCTCTGCACCAGGCTAGTTTTGCCTGCAGCTGCAACAAAACTCCAGATTGAAAAAAATATTGTTATAGCTGGGACTTCAGGCCAGGGAAAAAAGAAGAAAATCATAAAATTAACAACCCTACTCTGACATTTCCAGCCCGCATCAGACTCACCCTCCCCACCAGCCGTCTATCCCTAGTCTCAGATAAGAATTTCCCTCTCTCTTTCCCACCAGATACTGGACATTCACTTCTCTGCACCCTACATGTCTGAATCAACAGTAAGACCAGTTAATATTTGAAGCCACTGTCAGTGACTTCAAAAAGAGAGTAGGTTTAGATTAGATATTTGGAACAAATTCTTGGTTGTAAGGGTGGTGGGGCACTCACCGGGGAATGGGTTGCCCAGAGAAGCTGTGGCTGCCCCATCCCTGGAAGTGTTCAAGGTTAGGTTGGACAGGCCTTGGAGCAACCTGGTCTAGTGGAAGGTGTGTCTGCTCATGGCACAGAGCGGAACTGGATGATCTTTAAAGTCCCTTCCAACCCAAACCATTCTATGATTTTAATTACAAAGTCATTATCAGACAGCAAACCAATAATCTGAGGACTGAGAGCTAGTTAACAGCCCTGCTGTTGGAACAGCCCTCCAGCCAAGGAATAACCAGGTAAGCCGGCAGGAAGCACCCTGAAACTGCACACACAGAGAAGCTGCCATACCTGTGGAACACTCATTGCAGATGAATTTGCCCTTTGGCATCTCGGAGAGCCCAAGGCACTGCAGGTGGAAAGCACCACAGCACTGTGCCTCACACAGCAACAACTCCCCTGGCTTCTCGCAGATCTGTGAGGAAAGAAACACAGCTCTGAGCAACCTCCTTCCCAGACAACAACCATCCGCGTGCTGGCCAGAGCTGTGGACTCCTATGGAAAAATGCTACATTTTCTTTGCGTCAGTAAAGTCAGGTGATTTGTGCATCCCCACTGCCATTTGCCATCCAGTCCCTGATACCACCCATCAGTTAAAATTAATCCTGCACTGGTCACGTCTCATTAACACCTGTGAAGCTTAGTAGGAGGAAAGGCTATTGCAGAGGAAAGGCTCAAAACAGCACAAAAACTTGATTAATTCTACAATAAGCACCTTGAGGCTCCCTGGGCTTACCTGGGGCAGCAGTGTGTCTCAGAAGTTACACAAAAACACTTTACAGTGGTAAAGTGATTTCTTCAAGAACACTACCTGACACACGTTCTCCTTGAGAGCTGCTCCTCCTCCACGCTCCCCCTGTATCTTTTTGGATGAAGGCACTCCATGGTCATTCTCTGACCCCTCTTCATTACCCTCTTTTGGGCTTGCAGCTGTCCCATGAATCGACGTCTCCCCCTTTAACCAGAAAACCAGAGTCAGGGCTGTCAGTAGCTGACCTGGAAACTACAAATTCAGCCATAGGCACGTAATAGGTTTGGCAATTGGTCTCTCTGTGTTACCCACCCTGGAGAGAACATGCCCTATACAGTTCCACCAAAAGACTTATAAAAAAGGAAAGGGATCTATCTGAGTCTATTAGGTGATTAAAAAATACACACTCAATTATCTTCCTGTGCATGACCCCTCTCTTAGCAAGCAGTCATTCATGCCCTGAATGGAAACAAATCAGGTAGGCTGAAATAGTGAGAAGTATTCCAATTTCTACTTGTTCTGGAAACACAAATGAAAAACCTCAATCTTCATAGCAGCTGTCACTCACTAAATGAACTATACTTTTCCCCACACTCATCTCAGCATGTCCTAACCCATGTAAAATACAGGCATGAAGCTATTCAAAGCCTGGTGTGAACTCAATGATCCTTGTGGGTCCCTTCCAACTCAACACATTCTGTGAATCCAAAAGTGAGCAGCACAGCAGGGCACCTACACCCCACCCTGCCTGGGGTGCAGAGTCTCCCACAAGCATCTGTCCTGCGCAAGTGTCACAGCACTGCCGGTAACATCTACTGGTGGAAGAGCATCCTGTGGGACAATGGATTTCAAATTAAAAAGGCCCAACTGCACCCTTATGGGCCAAGTCAGGGATCCTGCCACAAGGCTTCCCAAGGTATCTGACATGCCCATGGGACCTGCCCAAGCACTTTAGAGGGAAGGACAGCAGCAGGTATCCTAGCGACACTTGTTTCTACCACAAGATACTGTTGTCCTGGAGCTACACATGGCAGCATTGGCACAGATTTTGTCAGGACAGGCAACTAAGACCTAGGAAACACCATCCTGCCAACTTTGAGCCCTCTCGGGTATAGCCTAGGGAGAAACACTTCACTGGTCTCACCAGCCCCAGCTGCCACTCCAGAGTGGGTACAACTTAAGAGCCATTAATTCTCCACCAAAGTGATGCCTTCAGCTAAGTGCTTTGAGCAAAAACATTTTAAGGACTCTGACATTTTTTAACATCCTAGCTCACTGCAATTAGCTGAGTGAGACCAGTGCATAGATGTCAGTTCCTTTTTGGGTCACTAAGCTGTACCCAGTGTACACATAGACACAAACTGTACACTTGAGAGACCTTGTAAGGAATTCAAGCTGCTGGCAGAGGCAGCAGACATCACTCCCACACCTCCAGGCCTGCTTGGTGCAGGGTGTCCAGCAAACGATCACAAGAGGGAGCTTTGCACCACTTTCTGTATAGGAAAGTCTGAGTTGTGGTGCTACTAAAGCTTGTAAGCTGAACTGAATGCCTTTTGAAAACATTTAAGTCAGGGCAAAGCAAGGACATAAAGATCTTCTAAAGTTTAAAGCTGGAAGAACCTGGAGCTGGTATTTTGTTCTAACGATGCTTCCTTTGCCTGGTATTGTTGTCTTTCTTCCCCGTTCCCTGAATGGAGCCATATCATTTTATTTGGGGACATTTTAAAGCCACGTGAGTTCTGTGAAGCAATGAGGGTATATTAATGCACACAATACAAAGATGAATGGTATAAATTGCCTTTATTGAGCACAAAAAAAAAAAAAGCAGCAAAGTCCCAGCTATAAACTACTGCCAGTCCAACACACCTTACAGAGTACAGCCTCGCTGACTATCAGCACAGTCTTGTTGGAAGGCTGGTAGCGATGCAGCCTGTGGGAATACTGATAAGGAGCACATAAGCTGCTGCCACCCTACCACACAGCCCTGGCAGAGGGAGAGGAAAGGTCTCCACAGCATTGGCAAAAAGACCATCTAAGAACATAACAGCCATCTTTGCCTCTATATGCATCTTCTCCAGGTTAAGTGCTACAATACTTCTCCTGCAGCTGTATTTCTGCTAGGGATTATGTAGTCTGCTGCAGGGCAGCTCTCTGGCCCAAACACTTGCTTTGGCTCCTGGAATGCTTCAGGAGCAGCACTGGTGACCAGTGCTCCAAGGACAGCTTACAGCACAGGTCCTCCTATTCTCAGCACCTCAGAAGAGGTGCTTCCTCTTCTGCTCAGCCCAGCAGTGATCTCAGGCTTTCATAGGTCACAGGATCTCATAATATACTGAGTGGGAAGGGACCCACAAGGATCATCAAGTCCAACTCTTAGCCCTGCACAGGACCATCCCCAAGAGTCACACCCTGGGTCACTGTAATGGAGAACAAGTGCAGGGTTAATCAGCTACTGGTATGGGCAAACTGTCAGCTTATAGCTTCTGCTTGTGCTGAGGCCCTAGAGTTACAGACACAGTGAGCTCAGCCCCTCTCATGGTCACTAAGGTCCCTGTCAGGAGGGGCAGGGTGCTGGTAAACAAGAACCACGTATCATGCAGTCAGTGGCATCAGCTTCCTACTGTAGCTAAGGCTTCAAGGTAGAGTTTTGGAAGCAGGGGGACATACAGGGACTACAGGCAGAGGTACGTGGGATTTAGAACTGGTTTGTCTTTCCATCCTTCTGGTAGCTTTCTCCCCTGGCTAAAGGACCATGGAGTTCCATGGCTGCAGGACTCCTTGGTTTGAAGCCCGATGAACATGTTTCATGTGTTAATGAAATGGGACACTAAAATGGATCGAGGAGTCCTAGAACATTAATCAGCAGCTCCCTCTCTGGATTTGAAAGCATTTGCTAGTAGCAATGTTACTTAACAACTAGGCTCACATTGCCCAGGGTGGCACAGCATGTTCTAGCCCTGCTCTGTCAGCCTAAACACATCCAATTCAGTTCTGAAAACAGCTGGTCAATCTGCACATTCCACATGCCACGATCTCAGCCTTATTCTAACACTGCTCCCAGAACTGCATAGGGAAGGGAACATCAGAGCTAGGCAGGATGGGCAAAGCCCATCCTTTGTGAACAGAGAGAAGGGGATCTCCACTCACGGCCATCACTCAAAAGACCTATCACTGTTCCCCCTCCTTCCTCTGCCCAGCATGAGCACTGCAACACTACAAATCTACATACCTCCTGCAGAAAGAAGGGCTCATCCCTGGTCTTCTTCCAGAGCTATCCCTGCTCCTGTGTCTGGCACATCCCCAAAAGCATGGCCTGTTCTTTGGCACAGCCTGACCTTGGCTAAGAACCTTGACAACCATTTCAGCAGCATTTTCCATCCCCTTTTCTCAGTCTCTTACTGCCCTGATGTTGTAAATTTGCACTCCTGGCTCCACGGACAGGCAAGGACAGAGAAACCTGCTTAGCTCAGCCTAGACTGACAAGCTGCCCTCTTTTCCTTGGCAGGCAGCTGGGTTCCAGGCTTCAATGCTGTATCATCAGATCATCTATTTCTTCTAGCACCATTGAGCTCAAAGTGGAGTTCCTTGCCTGGTGTGTGCAAAGTCACCGAGGGACCAGCACGGTCCCAATTCCGCCTGGAAGCACAACTGCATGTCCACAGTACCCCAGTACTCACCAGAACCCATGTACTCATCTAAGCCAAGGGATGAACACACTCACCACAGCAGCTCAAGAGACACACAGAAACAGATGCTGGCAAAGGTGCCAAGCACTGACATTTCTGTTTGGCATGGTTCACACCGTAATTAACTTCAAGTACTCAACACAGTTGTCTAAGGCTGGAGGCAGTTAAAACTGGGCTTCCTCTGCAGTGAGTGGTGGGTGCAGGATTCTGACCCATGGCCTAGATCTTTGCTGCTCTGAACAGCCCCTCTTTTTACAGAGAATTTGCTGCCTCAGAGCCAGGCCAGTCTCTTAGTGGGGACCAGAGCCAGGCCAGTCTCTTAGTGGGGACTTAACTACAGACAGTGTTAACTGTTCTCCCCAGCATTGGCAAAGATATTTGTACAGGCTGCTTTGAAACACGATGTCAGATGAGCACACTTCAGAAAGAGCACTAACACCAGCAAAGGAAGGCTTCAATGGTCCAAGGGTATAACCCTAAATTATCAGCCTCATCAGAAATGCCCTTTCCAGAAAGCAGTACAGTGGCTGGAACTATTAAAAGTGGTGTGAGGTTTGTGCTCTCCTGGATACTGTGTAACAACAACAAATATAACAATATATATCTATAACTGGCTCCTAAAATACATACTGACTATCCTGCCTGCTGCTGAACCTGGGCCACTGGAAGTGGGAGGCGATAGCGAGAGGCCCAGAGGTGTCCTGCCTGTCCCAGGAAGTCTTGCTTTCCCTACATTTGGTGATACCTGGCTCATTCCTAAAAGGCAAAATGTGTTTGTCAGAGAGATTTGTACGTTGACCCTGCTGGGATGCAGTAGGAGGTTGCCCCAATTATCCTTTTCTGCTGGATGGCAGAACACAATCAGAGGCTCTTGTGAGCAGTCAACAGTTCCCACCCAGCCCTCTCAAGGAGGTTCTTGGCTCACCCTGGTGTGCAGGTGCAAGCACACCAGGAGCTGAAAACCAGTCTAGTGCTTGTGCTTCATACTGGTGCAAGGGCAAGATTCCCACCATCACCACCGGAGAAGACCTTTCACAGCAGTTTGATTTTCTGAGGTGCAAAGCAAGATGCCAGGCAAAACCTGGTTCCATCCATTCAGAATGACACCTCCCCCAGAGAATTAGCTGAGTAGCAGTTTAAAAACAGAGCCCAAGTTAAGCACTGATCACAAAATAGCTACTAAATCAAGGTGGTATCTTCAGCCATAAAACTGCATCAGTGGGACAAACTTCCAGTTTGCCCAGACAGCTAAGGATGCCCTGGTCTAGGCTCTGCCAAGTGCCCTGGGAAGTACAGACAGGACATAGGGACAACAGCATGTAGGAAGACCTTATAAGTACCTCAGAGTGTGGGGTCTCCCCCAGCCCCTCCTCATTTTTCTCCTTCTTGGAATGGACTGCAGCAGTGGTATGGCGCTGTCTCTTCCGCTTCCGCTGTTTCTCCAAGAGCTTTTCAGAAGCTAGGATGAACCAGAAAGACCATTCAAAGAAAATGCAGAAATAATTTCCTTGCTACAGGTGACACCAGCAAGTTCTACCCCCTTTCTGAGAGCTCCAGGCTGGGTTCTGTATTCTTTGAAGGACTAAGGTGACACCGGGGCAATACCAGCCTCTAGGTACTCTGTCTTCTGCCCTGCAGCTTTCAGAGGAAACCTAGTTTTTACTGGTTTAAGATCATTTTGCTGGGCTGCAGAACGGCATCACTGTGCTGAGACAGCCCACCTAGCACAAAATAAGAAATGGTACCAACACAAAGCTTACGCTGCTAATCAAATGTTCATTACTACCTCCTCCTGCACTGCAATAGAAACCTTCTCATGCTGATACTGATGGGATTCAAAGGCAGGAGGGAAGGACAGGGAGCCACTGCTGGGCCTGGTCACAGCATGTCATCAGCCAAAAGACAGCATGTTGCTACAGGACCTGTGCTGACAAGCTCCCTTCAAGCACACAGACTATCAATGAGAAGTGAACAGCTTCTCATGGAAACATGAATACACTTCTCCACTTTCCAGAGGGAAATCAAAAGCATAACTATACTGGAGATAAACAGTCTCAGTACTTCTTCTTATCTGCTAATGACCAAGTACTTACACACACACACACACAGAGGCACACACACACACGTAGTGCCACAGGCACCGATCCAAATCTCACCAACAGCCTGTCCCACCATCCCTGCCTTCACTTACCTTCTCCCAGGTCCTGAAAGTGGGCTGGTGAGTAGAGCTCAGAGCTGTCGCTCTCTGAAGGGCCAGTACTCTACAAACACACAGGAGAGTCAAGTCACCAGCTGCAGAACAGAGGTGTGCACTCCTCAGCCACGCAGCCTTCACGAACGACTGCAACATGTAACTTACAGTTCAGGACATGAATTCATTCATCAGTCATTAGGGATTTTACAAGAAAACATTTGTTTTATGTGTGTGATAGATCCCACATGTAAAGGTCAGTCTCTGGGCTTGTAGAAATGCTGAGTCAGCTGCTCTGTCTTGTGCTCACCAGCATCATCCACTGTTTTCAGAGCTCTCCCAAAAAGGCTGCAAACCCCTGTAAGGTGCTGGGAAGAGAGACTCTCTAGCTTTACACTGTTACAGTCTAAGACTGGAATATACCAACCTCTGCATTACTGCAATTGTGATAACTGTACTAAAACTGTGCCACTCAAAAAAAAAAAGAAAGAAAGAAGTGTTATTACTTAACCTTAGAACTGTGGCAACAAGTCCTGTGTGCATACACCACATGAAATAAATACAAGTTGCTTTTTTTCAAATTCTATCACTGAATATTGAGTATTTAGTGAGGAAAGAGCATCATTTTCTTTAAAAATCTGAACCAAGCACTGTATCCTACACATGATTCAACTCAAGCCTCCATCCTGCTACAATCTTTGTATTTATGCTTGTTCATCAGCTCACTTGGGAAGGAAACACTGCTCAGAGGGAATCTGATGGAAAAGGACAAAGCCTTAGGTTCAAGCTCAAGCCATGCTGCAACATGACAGAAAGCCTCTGCGCAAGAACAATTCTGCTCACACATTCCCAGCCAGCAACCAGATGACTCCTTTTCCATAAAAATCAATCAAGAAAGGAGATTTTACAGCCAAAACTACCCTGGTGGGGAGGGGTGGGGAACAGTAGATTTCCTCATCATAACACAGCAAGCAGCACCTTTGGGAAGGGTGGACCTTTGCTCCTGGACCTCAGCCAAGAGAAAACCACATCCCATTGCACTGTGGCTCATTCAAGCTGTCTAGGCTTGTTTTCTATCCAGTTTTCAAAAGAGCTGGAAGGAAAGTACCTTCTTTTGGGGAGTCCACTCCTCCTTCTTTGGCATAAAGGCAGTGTCCAAATCATTGGATTCCAAGAGCTTTTTAGTGGGCTTCCTTTGACGTTTGCCTTCAAAGTTTCCTGCAATGAAATCCTTCACATCAGATAAATGAGGGTTTTCTCCTCTTCAATCAGATTAAGATCATTAAGTAAATATCAGCCAACAGTTCAAAACAATTTGCTTCAGCCTGTCTTTGGGACCATAAGCTTCTTGGGCAGAGATGCCAATTACCACTTTCTGTACAACTTCAACAAAAATGGACCTCAGTCTGACATGACCTTCAGGCTCACCTCAATATGTAATACAAAAATCCACCCACAGAAGAGAGACTGTGAACTCACTGCCAGAAGGTAACACACCCTGGCAGCTCAATTCAGATAGTAATTTCCCAAACTCTTTGATCTGACATAAGCCAGTCCTACCACTAACACAGCCCTGCCTCCACTCCCACGCCCCTCAGGCCAACATTCATGCTACTGTAATAGACAGGCTGAAGATCACAATCCTGGTTAAAACTACTTGAGAAGAGACACCCAAAAAAACCCTAGGTGTAACCTGCACAATTTCATACTGAAACATTTCTGTATGACATCCACAAGACCCCAAAGGCAATCCCTCTTCTCTCACACAAGACAAGCTAAGTGACCTCCCAGCAACCATAACCTCTGTTTGTTTGGTTTAATTTTTTTTGACCGCAGGCCCTTTAGGACAGAACAGTGTTCCTTCCAATTTAGCACAGCCAGAACACCAGGGCTCTAACCCTGGGCATGTGTTCAGATGCACATACTGCAGAGTAGACCCTGAGACTGACAGTGCTGGAAGGGGAAAAGGCCTATTAGACCACACTCGCTGTGTGTACGTTGTGCCTTACTGGAAACCAAGGCCCTGACTTGCTGCTCACACAAGTCTGACAATTTCTACAGATGTTTAAAGCCTGTAAGGAAGAAGTTTTTCCAGGGGGAATTTTTTGTGACTGTTCCTTGAGCTTACTAGGAGAGCAAAAGGTCACCCCACGTGCAAAGCAGATTAGACTTTGCCTGTCAACCTCAGCACAGCAACGTTCATCCAAAGGGTTTTAACAGCAGCAAGAGACCTTCACGCTAAAGGAATGCCACTGTTCGGAAGCACAGATGGCAAGGACTCAGTGAAGGAGTTGTGGCTCTATCCATTTGGACAAAGGTGCATTCTGTGCCAGGACCTACAGACGACTATCACACACCACAGAAAGCCAACAGTACCAGTTCACTGGGTACCCCCTGCACCTGCCCTCTCTCCCTTCTCAGCACCAGAAAGTCAGAGAATGAAGCAAAGCAAGAACAAACAGACTGACAGCCATTGACCCAAGCATCATTTTCCACTGAACTTGTGACACTTTCACTTATGAAAGCAGAATCACACAACCTTCCACTCACCTGATTTCAGGAATCCCTCTTCTGCATCTGGAGAAGCAGAAACTTCAGAAGCATCTGAGGCAGACAGCACCACCAGGTCTGGAATATCTGAAGGTCCTTCTGGAACTTGATTATTGTGATCAGTGGAGTGGGATCCTAGTTCTGAGAAGGAACACTCTGCTTCAAGGATGGGAGGGGATTCTTTGGTTGAAGATGGAGTTGAAACCAAAGAACTCGGCCCCCGCTGGGTATCTCTGTCAGGACTGCATTGTGCAGGAAGACCTCCTTCAAATTCAGACCTCACCACAGAATTCACCTGGCGTGGTGAAACATGTTGGTGAAAACATTCATCCTGCATGGCACTGCACACAGCAAGAACACTCAGCCACCAAGAACATAAACACACACAGACCAGAGCCCCAAAGCAATAACCACAAAGAGTACGTTGGCCTTCACCCACCTTTTGCAATTGCTCCTGGTTTTTCTTTGATTTTTTCTTGGGTGCAAACAAGTGATCATATTCTTCTGCATACTCCAGAAGCCGTTTACTTGGCTTTCTAAGGCGCTTCCTCTCTGAATGTGCTAAGAAAAAGGAAAGCAGCTTCAAGACTGTGTTTCTGAGACTATCACAAGGCAAAACTCTCCTCATGATTTGTGGATAATAGTTGTTCCTGCCTTCTCTTCCAGAGGGTCCATGTGGGAAGAGCCAATACTTTTTTCTCTTTGAAATAGCCTTAAAATTTTTGAGCTTTCTATTTTCCACAATCCTGACAGGGCAGGTAGGGTTTTTAAGGACCCAAGAGACTTCAAGCAGTTCAGGTTAAGAAATCAAAAAACAGACTGAGGGGCTCCTGAAATTTCACCCAACATCTCCCTACAAACTACATCTAACCTTTTCGCAGTACTTCTACCAAAACCAGAGACCATCACCAACTCAAACGCTTTTGCTGTTTATCCAAAATCCTTTGGTTTCAGTGCAGGAGCACAGGAAAACACTGTTTTCCCTTAATGCAGTTCACTCACTGGTATCACTAATAACACTTAAGCTTAACTCCTTCCCTTCCTCTCCTCCCTGGCATTTTTTCATATACTACAAATTCCCCATCTGCTACTGCAAGCCCATTTGTTGCTTTATTTATTTCCCAATGAGATCAGGAAGCCAGTGACTGCGAGCTCTTCAGGGCTCACATCTTTTGTGTTTGCACAACATGGCACCACCACAGAGGAACAGGTATTTCCTCAACACCCCAATGCATGGCAAGCTCCTAAAAAAAGAGCCCTGACACTCTACACCATCTCTACTCAACAAGCTGCAAAAGCAAGATTTATGTTTTCTTCCTTTCCAGAATTGCTCTGACTTTTCTCCTTTTTTTAGCTTTCAAAATCACTAAATAATTCTGCCCAAAGATTTCTCCTGTTCATGAAAACATCTGTGGTCTCCTGGAAATTTAGGAACAAACAGTAAATATTCTCTTTGCCTCTTTTAATTTGTAGGAGATGGCATTTTCTTCTTTAAAACGGAAGCATTTAAAACAAAGCATTCCAGTGCAACGCTTCAGAACAGGGATGCTGGACAAGACTGCTACACTTTATTGTGGCTTTGTGGTTAAACAAGCATGAAAATGTCAAACTTAGCCAAAAGAGAAGAAAGAAACAACTTTCTCAAAAGCAGCTATTTTCAGCCTCTATTAACACTGCACAGGTGTCTGGGTAAAACACACATTTCAGCATTTAATCAGTTACAGGGCGAGTATCCTCAGCACGCAACTATTTAGAGCCCCAAAGCCATGCAGCAGAGCACACAGCACTGTGCCAGAAGGCCTGGCTTAACTGCTTTTTTTGTTCCCAAAGGGAATCCCGTACAAGAATTCCAAATGCAGTCTGATTGGCAGTGGTAAATCACATACCCGATGAAACTATAAAATGGTTTTACGTCAGCAAATTCCACTAATCTTCACTTCTGCCTTATTTGCTTTAAATTACATCACAAAGTTTGTAGCAAAAATATGCCAAGTGTTGCCATTTAACTACGATGAAAACTTTTAAGTTTGAGCTTAGTGGGAACTGCACAGTTGTGACTGCAATCTGTTGTGATCTCTTACACTGAAACTCCGCCTGCTGCAGACAAGGATGGGTCACATCTTCTCTCAAAGCACTGGCAAGCAGAGGAAACTCCTCTTCTGTAAGCTGCAGTCAATTCAGCTTCCAGCATCAGTCTTTCTATTTTCAATGCACTTGGCCTTGCCCGACATATAGAAATGGTCTTTTCACAGCAGCAGAGGTTTACTCAGTACCACCAGCACTGGGGATGTTACAGCAGTCCAGACAGCAGCTCCAGTGCCTCCCCATGGCACATCTATCCACAAAGGGCAGGTGTTCTTGGGGCTCATGTGCTATTTAGGGCAGGGGAATTGGATTACACTGCGGTTGCTGTTCTGGCACTTTTGCAAGCAAACCCAGGCCCTGACTGCTGCACCCCTGTGTGCAGCACCAGGACAGTGTACACTCCTCTCCACCATCGCCATCTCACCCAGGAGCCTGCTGCCTTCCTCTGCCACTACCCTCCTGCCTTTACTGCCTCTCAGCAGCTCCTCTTCTCTAGCTCTCTCTGCAGACTTTAACTTCATCTCACACAGCAACACTGCAGGGATGCTTCAACTGCAAAACCAGCATGAAGCCATGAGAACCCGGCTGGATCTCAGTGCAGAGGAGGAACTCACTCCCTCGGCTGTGACACTCCTGCGGCAGAGCCCCAGCAGCCCAGAACAACGTGTATCCTTTCAACTGCTCTGTGGAAACTTTAGTCCTCAGAAACACACAGACCCAACCAGAGGAGTCAAGTGAATGATTAAGCTGGTCATGATTTAAAACCAGAACTTTTACCCCTTGTGTTACACCCTATGGGCTCGTATTCAGTGCCTGCTGTGACTTGCCTTGGGCAGGTCCCACAGCCACCAAGCCGGGAGCTGCCTTTGCCACATTGAATCATAGGTGCAGGCAGTCTCCAGTAACCACTAAGAGCAAAATACACACAACAACATGTGTACTGAGGGAATACATAAGTGATAAAATAACACAGGCTCAAAATTCTGATGAGTTCTATTAACTTATGATATTGCAAGTAGATTAGAGCAATTTAGTTTGGTGAAATGTATGCAAAAATTTAATTTTATTGTTTTTATTAATGTGTGTTCCCTTGGATTCTGAGGATGGTATGTGTCAAATGTGGTTTTGTTGTCCTTCTGCACACACCTTTTTATTTCTTCCTTTGGCTTTAACCAAATGTTCCCACCACTGTGGGAGAGGCAGGGCTGTCAGATCTTGTGGTCCTCAGAGGCCTCCTCCTTCCTACACTTCCCTTACAATGCTGCTGCCTCATTTTTTTCTGCCATCTTTCAGACCACCTCCAGCCCAGCCTCCCTGGCAGCTTCCCTCCCTTCTGTTCTCCTCTTCGCCCATCAGGCAGCCACACCAGAGCTGCAAATTAGGAAATTTGTGGGGCTCTCCAACTTGTTATTAACAGCTAGTAAAATTTCACACTGAAATGCAAAAATTCCCCCAAAAACCCCAAACACATAATCTTCATGAGATTCTACAGAACAAATCAAAAAGACAAACTGTGTCAAACAGCACTATAAAAGATAAAATCAGAGCAGCCATTGAGGCTTAGTTTCAGACAACTTTCTAGCGCTGACCTACCCCACTAACACCAAGCACGTGGCTCTAAGGAACACATTATAAAGATGCAAGTTTAAAAATAATCCCAAGCTTAGAGAAGGATGCTCATTTTACCTTTCATGGTGCAGAAACTAATGATTTGTAATGTATTTAAAACTTTCCGGCCAATAACCTGAGCACAAGCCATCTTTGTTCTCCATGCTTACAGAGAACTCAAATCAAGGTACATTTTCTTCTGCTCAGATGTAGACATCTCCACATTATCAGACAGCCCCAAGTTCCATAACTTATCCTTTAAATGAAAAAGTATAAAATGTATACAAATACACACTCTGGCGCAAGTCCAGCTCCCTTACCTTGTGCAGAGAATTCAGACTGGGGAGCAAAGTTGCCAAGCTTTGTTTCTGAGTCCATCACACTGGTGTTTGGCTTACCACATACATTCAAATGTTTATCAACTAAGTCTAAACGATTCTCAAAGTCCTGAACTGCCAGGTCTCCCTCAAGCACCTTTGAATGAGGGGAATGCCTACGTCCCAAGCACTCATTTCCCTTCAGTGAAAAGCCACGAGAATTCAGGCCAAAGGCACTCTCCAAGTTTCCTTGTTCCCTAGATCTACTGATGTGCTTATTAGATCTAGCACTGCTTTGGTTAAAACGCTGCCATCGCTTTTTGGGTGCTACGTGATTTATATCATTAGACTCATCACCAAGAGAGCTCTCACTATTTGCCTCTGAATCCAAGTCTGGACTCTGCCCATTTTCAGCAGAATTGCAGCTCTCAACATTTCTACCAGCTTCAGGTCTCCTTCCAATACGACCTAAATTGTCATCAGATAAACAGGCAGAGTCTTCATCAGTTGAATGCTCTGTTAAATCAATACACTCTTTCCTCTCAGTATCTTCTGCCTCATTACCTAGAGGACTGGTAACCGAACCATGCACACGGAATGCATGTTCTCCTGAATCTCTGGATAACCGACTTAGCAACTTACTTGGCCCTCCTGGTTTTAAGTCCTTTCTGTTTGAAATTGTTTTATCTCCAAGCTTAGATGACTGCTTAGATTTTGAACAGTTGCGTTTGGACACGCAATTTGTGCCATTTGTCCCAGAAACAGCAGCACTTGCAGGCTCCCTTTTACCAGAACCAATCCCCGTCAACTTGGTTGGAGGATTGCGTGAAAATGAGGAGTTGCTTATAGCGGAGTTTGGATTTACTGTTTCCTGGACACAATCTCCATTTTTTTCTATTTTATATGGGGGACCTACAATAGACAAAGACTTCAGACCACTCGCAGAATTGCTTCCAGAACCATCAGCTGTGCTGGTATTTCGAAATGGGACTATATTTTGACCAGTCATCAGTTGCTGCTCTTTTGTCTTACTGTCATGCATATCCTTCAACATCATTAACAAGGTGCTGAATTTGTAATCTGGTTCAATAGGCAAACGACCATGACCAGAGGCAGAAGAGAAAAGTAAAGGTACTGTGGCCTTTGGAGTGCCAGAGTCACTGGCATCATCATTCATGGACCGGTAAGACAGTTCCTTCAGCTCTGACAAGACGTGCTTCACCACAGCCGTTTCGATTTCAGCAGAATCCCTGGGTTTCTCATGCATGTTGTTTAATAGTTTCTGACCATCAACTTTTCCACTTCTCAGAAGGCCAGAGAAACCTTTGGTATCCGAAGAGCAGCAATTCACACCACCCTCCTCTTCCGCAAGAGAAGGCTCCAACCCACCAACCTTTTCTTTATGTTTGCATTTTATACTCCTGATTCGGGGTAATTTCATGCTTTTCGGTTTTAAGATTGCTTGATTTGCAACAGCAGGCCAGGAGCTATCCTTGGAGACACTTTGGGGGGTAGTGTGCTTGTTTGCTGGGGAAAGATTGTCATTTCTCACATCCGAAGAGCACTCAAGAGCCATCAATGACATCTCAGCATCAGAGAAGCCAACTTCCAGCTCTTCATCTGCAAATTCAGCATCAAGTCTGCTGGTTACTGAACCTCCCAGAGGTTTGCGATCTCTGTATGACTTCTTCCTGGCCCTTCTGCTGCTCTTCTGAGAAAGATACATGGAAAGTTTAATGTTTCCACTTGACGTCATAGGAAATTCCTTCTCCACTTTATCTGAAGAATCACTAACTTCAAGAGCACTAGAGGCTCTCTCTGAATTTTGGTCCATGGTATCTACATCACTGTCCCCACCATCAGAGAGGGAAGAGGATGAATCCGATTCAGTTTGCTTTTTCTCAATACCAGCATCAGATGCAGAATAATGTATTTGTAATTTAGAACTGCACAAAATGCCCAGGGAGCTCTTCTCTCTCTCAAAAGATGGGCTGGAAAACAAATCCCCTTGGAGAGTGTTCTTGAGAGTATCACTTTTACGATTCTCACAGTCCGTTTTCAAAGGTGTCTTTTCAAAACGTCTTTCTCCAAATGAGGAAAGCAAATGGTTTTCCCTGGTGCTGCTGGATGCTGTCAGGCTGTTGGCAATCCGGCGAAGTTCATGAGACGCGTGTTTCTCTGGTAGGTCCCCAGCAATTGTGTTTCTAACTATGCTCTCTGGTGTTTTGTCTTTGATTTCTCCCCTAGGTGCTTCCCCTCTCACGCTGCTCTTTTTTACTCTAGTCCTTTTTCTGCTTTCAGAGCTTTTTTTCACATGTGGCTTAATGTGCAATTTTCCTTTTTCACTGGTCGCGTGTCTGGAGTCAAACGCCAAGGATTTAAAGCAGCCGTTCAGCTGCCTGTCCCTTTCTGCTCCAGGGCCATTGGTATAGTATTCTGACTGCATGTCCTTCTCACTGTCCGGCTCACTGGAGTTCTGGCTGCACTTTTGATCCTCTGGTCCTCTGAGAAGAATGTCTTCTGCCTGTCCAACACTGACTTCCCATTTAGCCATAAATCTTTGCGGAACCTTAAAAAGTTGGAGACAAAAAAAAAAAAAACAACAATATTTGAGCAGGTACCCAATGAGATAAAAGTGAAATTGAGGAGCACAAGGTACAGAACAGAGGGACATTCCTGCATTTTGCATCTTTAAGATAATCACGTGGATTCCCTGAGACTGTGTCTAGGGGACACAGGAAGCACTGCTCCTGGGAAAGCACCCTGCACTCCTGCTGAGCATAACAGCGTAACTCCTGTGCATTCTCAACACAGCAAAAAGGTCCCTGTAACCACAGGTCTCCCAGGAATCAGATGTCCTGGCACCCCAACACATCCTGAATACAACAGCCTATCAGAGGAATGCATATGGTATGGATCCCTGGCACATAAATGCAAAGCAACAGCCAACAAGGCTCTCAAGGCAAATGCAGCATTGTTTTCCACAAAATATCTGAGCAGACCTGTTTGCTTTGCTCATTCTTGATTCTTCTTGCATCCCTTAAACTCAGAGCATGAATTAATCTGCCCTCTCCATCAACTCACCTTGGGACAAACATGAGATCCACACACATCTAAGATGCACTTTATCAAATTTATGATGTTCATTGCTGAGAGGTCTCCCAGCTTTAACTCTGTACCTTTATTAAAAACAAAATCCCTCCTTATACTGGACAGGAACCTCTGCTAACACCCAAAATCAGCAAGAAAGTTTCTTATGTGCTTGTGCAGTTTCTGGCTGCACAACAGCACATCAGAGGCTTCACAACTGCTCTTAAAATCAAAACCAATTCCAAGGCAGGAAGAACAACTCAAATTTTCTGACTTTTCCTTTAAAAAATACCCAAACCAACAAAATCTCATCTCAGCAGATTAAAAAATCATTTGATTCCCTCTACTGCAGCCTTGTTGGCACTTATTTTACATATAGAACAAGATTCCAGTCAAGCAATTCTAGAACCAGAAAAGTTACTAGTGAGAATGTCACTTGTTTTTGGGGGGCTGTGAGCACAAGGAGGGAAGTCCTTAAAAAAGATACCGAACATGGCTTTGGAAAAGGAAAACCAAGTAAGAGCATTGCAACCAGGGACTCATATCTGCAAGAGCACGTTCGATCTGATGGTTCTGCATTAACATAGGTTATAAAGCTCTAGAATAAGAGAAAAAGAAAAAGCAGATATCACTGCCTAGTGTAACTATGCGCTCTCTTACAGTAACACAGTAGCTGGTGTAGTTCTTCACTTCAGCAATTCTAACAAGTTAATTTCTCCAGTCACCTTCCTAAAGACATAGACCAGACCCCTGTGTCACATTTCATTAACTGGCTACAACTGCTCAGCGCTGTTATGTTTGGAAACGGAGATGGTGCGATGAGCCACAGAACTCATTCCCACAGGCTCCCTGACAAAGCGTTTTCCAAGTCAAATTATAAGTCCTAACAGGTTTCTATAAAGAGAATTACTGAAGCAGGGCTAAAAACCCCACTGCTTTATCTCAGCCAGTGATCTAGTGAAGCGTGCAACTCTACTTCTGCTTCAGATCAGCCAAAAGGGGCTGCCAGGGAGCACAGGAAGTTTTTTAGCAGTGCTGCAATAAACATCAGGAGATAGCTGTGCTGCTGAACAGATCCCACACCAACAGAGCCCTGACTCCTCTGCTTCCCAGAGGAGTCCAGGGCAATAGAAGCAGCAGGTCACACCCCAGCACTGAAGAGAGCCTAAAAACTCCTGGCAGTTTATAAACTATGTTTGATGTAAGAATGCAAAGAATACCCTCCCTCGCTGCTTTGCTGCAGTCAATCTCACAGAAGAAAGCTGTCAAAGTGCAATGCCAGGCATAAAGGAATATTTTGTACTGTGCAGATTCAAAGAATCAAAAACATGTTGAAGAAAACAGATCTTTCACCTTATGTTTGTAGCCTTTTTCCTTTTGCTTCCCTCTTTTCCGGGGAACAGGCAGCTCTTCAAACTGATGTCTTCCTTCAAAGAGGACAATAGCTTTCCCAGCAACCCAGCTTTTCTCTGAAGGTTCTCCTAAGGCATCCACATAGTACTCTCGGTATGGTCTCCCACTGGAAACTACTTTGAGAAATTCAACATAATTAACCCCTTGCATATAACAGAATAAAGACACGCAAAAAGAATCACAGAAAACGGTAACAATTTGCCAGATAATTTTCAATCACAATTTGCTTAATAACATTCCCACATGAATGCCAGTTCTGGGGATTTCTGCTCAAAACTAAGGGAGACCCCTTTGATCCCTGCTGTCTATGCTCTATGTTGCTACTCTGTTTTTGTTTGGGTTTTTTTCTTATGAACAATAGATTAATGACGGGTCATCTTCCTAGAGCAGAGATTGTTTGCAAAGAAAATGGCAAAGATATCTAAATATTTTTTCCTTGAGAGGCACAACATACCAGGCAGGACATTTCTTTTCTGCTGCTCCCTGATTAATGATTAAATAGTCCAGTCCACTTGACCGTTGGGAAAACACAACGGTGCTGGCAACACCCAGAACTGACATCCTTCTGGATATGATCTACTCACACAGGTTGAGCCTCCTCCACCACAACATATCCCATCTTGCTCAATGCTTTGATACCAAACAAACTCTTATTTAGGACACAAAACATATAAACAAACACATGCACACACACTACAAGGATTAGGTGCAACATGACAAAACATTAGTTGCAATGAGTCCATTTTTGGGGCACAAAGGTGCAGAATAAGAGAAGAAATTCAATTGTAAGGACACATTCAAAGATTTTTCAAAGGTGCTTTCTGTGCAAGGATGTTGAACAGACATGGTACAAGTAAGAACTGAACCGGTACTGGGTGTGCTGGTGAAAAAAACCAGGTCACAAGCATTAGAACAGAGCAAACAAGACTTGAAAACAAGGGATATAAAGTTCTCCCTGCATTTTGCTGCAAAGTATGCTTAACCTTCTCCTTCTGAACATTCAGCTTAGACTTCCAACCCATTTGGTTTGTGATGCCTCTTCCAGGAGTGCCAGCACAGTGTGGCAGCCTGGCCTCAAGAGATGCTGACAGTGAGATTCTGACAAAGACCACTGAGAGGATAATAAATAATGACCAGAGCAACCTCAAACCACGGACAAAGATGGCAGGCTTCATCCATCCCATTCACAGTACTGGGACTTGAGCCACTGAGCCTCAAAATTCCAGCTCCAAAAATCTTTGAGCAGAGAGCTTGCTGAAAAAAAGGCAAACTGCCTTGAACAAAACATCATTCCTCAAACCCAAGAGAAGAGGTTTCTGCACAAGTGATGAGTTTGAAGCGACCTGCCTTGTTTTGAAGGGCTTGTTCCCTTGGCAACAGAGAGCCAAGGCAGGAGGGCTCTGCTTCCTACAGTGCACACAGAGCCCAGCAGCTCTACCTGCCCAAAGGCACCAGAGTTCAGATCCACCTGCTCTGCCACTTTGGCACTGGGAAGAGGAGACCAGCAGACCACATACAGCCACAACTGGAAAATGCAATTTTCCCCGGAGCTCCATTGTTTTGAACACAGATAAAACAACGATGGGAGAGTCCACCATGTGGCTGGAGATCAGGCCTTGAAGGAATTTGTTAATACCATGTTTTCTCCCTGCAGAATTCCTTTATTAGAAATCCTCATACAGAGGCTGAGAGGGGAATACTGGACAGCTATATACATTAAATCCTGTCATGAGGAGGGATGTGGGGGAGAATACATGTCAGCAAATCTTCTGGAAACATCTTCAACAGAAATCTGAGAGCCGGAAAGAGACTATTTAAAACAGCACATTCAATATTCTCTAGAATCAGGATGCATGTCTCCCAAAGGATGAAGGGGAAGGTGGAGAAATAGCAAGTAAGAAGAATACAGCAACCAGGCTTGGGGATGATGTGAGTACCACGTAGGAAAAGCTATTTTGTGTCTCTAGACAAATAGCAGCAGACTCTGAGCTGACGGCCACTCAAAAAAGTCCACTTCTGTCCAGCACTTGTCCTTACGCTGGCAAGGGCCACAAATCCTGGAGAGAAATACATCAGTGAGTAGCAACCTCACAGGTCTAGAGCTGTCAGTGGCAGATGACAACAGTTCAAAGGGTTTCCAGTTGCCCATAGAACAAAAAGAATCAGAAGGGGAAACCAGGAACAACTAAGCCTTTCTGTTTGTGGCAGTCTCCCCATGGCAGCTGGTATGATCCTAAAAGCAAATGATTAATCACTTCCCTTCTGTTCTCTCTATCACTCACATACCTTTGTCTTGAGCCTGTAAGACTCTCTTCGTTCCTGGCTCTCCCCTGTGTTCAAGCACATACAGCTCTGCCATATTTCCTCCATGTCTCCTCATCACACTCAGCTGACTCACACTATGCCCTAAACTTTCATATACATGGCTCCATCTCCAGGGTTTCCCAGTATTTCTCCATAAACAGCCCTTTGCTGTCTCATGCCAAACAAGACCCAAAAAATTTCACTTCCTTGCACGCATTCCCATCACACACTTCAGGCATTCAGCTGCCACTCTACATTCCGCTTCTCACCCTCTGCAGCCTCCCGTTCTCCAAGACTGGCTAACTCTCTGTGTCCTCACACACTCCAGTCTTCCCAGCTCTGCTTCCTCACCTGTTGCACCTCTCTGATCCTCTTCCTTTTTCTCTGCATCTCTTTTCTGAGAGGCTGCTCTTTCTTCTGCACCACCCTGAGCTCAGCCCAGCTACTCGTCCCTCCTATACTCTATGAAGAAAAGCCTACATGTCCAACAGCTATCTGTGTCACTTCCACCAGTCCGAGCCCCCTCTTCCTCCTGCCATCTCCCTGATTTAGGATTGCTTTATGGATCTAGGTCTTCCACAGTAGGGTCTATTTCTTCACACCTTTCAAGGGCCAGAAGTACTTTTAAAATTAATTAAAAACTGCAGCACCCTGCCATACACAACACCTCCACTTTGCGGTCCGAGTAGATACAGTACCTTTCATTTTTGAGTGACAGTCCAGCACTGGGTCATGACAAATTGTGCATGGCCACCATGGGCGTCTGTTGAACTTGGCCCAAACAAGATCTCCAACTTCATACTTCACTGGAATAGGTTTCTTCTGGGCTTGGATCTTCAGGGAAAAAATAAAACACAAGAAATCACTAAAGCTTCAGATGCTTTTGAAGAGATTTGCCTCCCCCCTGTGTGCAGATTGCATCAGACAGCAGAGACATTTACATTAAAAAGCAAGGCCTTATTTTTACTTAGTGGCTCCTACTCCTTCAGAGAACACAATGGTTCTCAGCATCCTTCTGAAAAAACAAAACAATAAGAGGATTTGAGCAGGCTTTTCTTATATTTTAGTAAGGAACATGACCTCTTGTAAATGACTGCACTCAAACCACATTTGAGCACGTAAATATTTGGAGTCACTATTAACCCTCATTACTTCATTCACAACAATTTGTTCATTTCAAAGGTTGAAACGTCCAGAAAAAGTAGTAGAAG